ACGAACAAAAACGACATACCTATGGGCTGTTTTTCTTGGAAAAAATGCGTGAAGGCACATCAGCCAAGCTTTCTTTGGAAGGAACGTACTCTACTGAAAAGAAACAATTCAGTGTTTGCGAGAGCTTTTTCATGCGAAGTGCTGCGTTATTGAGCGCCTTGGTCGATACGGCTCTTTTCTTGAGAGCGGCTAAGGCCGTCGTGCTCTCAATATTTGTACGAAGGTTCGACCCTGCGGGAATCCGTTGCCGCAAGTGATCCACCGCCAGAACCACGGTATTCACTTCCAGCGTGTTTATGTTGCGCTGCTCTGCTGTGGACCATGTTTCACCAACGCTCATGATTTCTTGGGGCTCGTCCCGCATCAACACCGCTCCACAACCGGCTCCAGAGGTATCGGTGTAGAGGGTCATCATCGGCATTCTCGTTGCCATAGCTGGCGCTATCGTTCGTGGACAATTCTTCTGTGCCAGGTCCTACCGTTATTTAAGTTACGCATGCCCCGTTGGGCGTGTGCAGGCCGGCTCCTTCACTGGGAGAGGTGTCTGGCTGAGCTGCGGCAGCCTTCGCCTAAGGAGCTTCAACGCCCAATAGAACTCTTCGATGCGAATATATAGGAATGAAGAGCTATGGAAGAGCTGCGTATACAGTCGCTCTAAGTCGCCGCACGTCATGCTTGGCGTCGGACCAGCAATCTTCTGGATCGAGTGATCTGCCACGCCCACTTTGTGAGCTGCGTTGTTGAAATAGACTCCCATGAAGTTGTTGACTTCTCCCGTGTTACTCTCATTTGTGTTAAGAGAGACTCGATACTCTTTTTAAGTGGTCAACATCCTCTTGAGTCGGTTTATATTGGAAATCATGCGAATCCTCACGTCCACGGTGGCACGCCATCCGAAGTATGCGGACAGAGAGTTCGCCGCGAACGACCCAGCCGAGACCACAATTGACGGTTGGATCGACGACATACGGTACGCAGGCACATGGCATAGAGTGAGACCGTGTGTCCCATCGGAGGCCGCGTCACGCACCACTGTGTACCGCTATTCGGATCTGCGAAGACGAAGCGTTGTTGCATTCTTTCTAGGAGCTCGACCTGGAAGAGGCTGGACGTCAGGTCTTGTATGCTGCCCATGTCGTTGTTTACTGCGTCGAGATACGTCGAAACGTGTAGGAGTGGCGCATCTGGTTGATAGCCTTGTGCATCTGAACGGCTGTTGCTCTCTATCTCGGCCATGCGATAAAGCGTCTTCAGACAGTGTTGTGCTTTGTCTGCGTGACCGTAAACGGTGTATTACTGTCGGCAGTAGGCTTCTTCTTGCCTCGAACCGCTGCTGTGTCGGTGTGCGTGCTGTGAACTTGTCGGATGATGTTGGTCATTTGTAGTTTTTCCATGTCGTCCTCGGCAAGTGCTGGAGCGCTTTTCGGGATACTTGTTTTGGGAGTGGTGACCCCTGGTGTCAGAAACTGGTGCCTGTTGTGTGCTTTGGCTTTGTGCAAGACACGCTGCTTCAAGGAAGTTAATGAGATCGTCCACCTGCTGACGGATCTTCTGGTCGCATGCGTAACATAATTGTCTGAAAGTTGAGAGGTGCAGCTTCCGCGACCTACAACGGATGGGGGAAGTCTTCTTCCTTGATGGCTGCTTTCTTCAGTTTTCACACGCCTCGACCGAGGTAGCCGCCGCGACCTGCGACGCTGTCCTTGTTCATCACTACCGAGCAGAGATGATAGCATTTGTCTGCAAGCTCATAAAGCGGCTCTTGAGAGTGGGGCCGTGGCTGGGCGTGCGGGGTTGCCGCTGTCAACTTCTTCACCAGTAAAAACGTTACTTTCCGGTGTTTACCAGTTTCTTATCCAAAAGGGATCAGCTACGCGTTTTGCGATCTCGAGAAGGTCGTCTTGGTTTTCTCCATCCTCGTAAATGCGTAAGGTGAACTAGACAGCATATTCGCTTCCAGGTTCACTTCCAATCGTACACCCGTTTTTCGATATTTCCAACTGGAACAAGCAGCACAACATCTCTATCATCCTGTCGGCATGCACCAACACGTGCACAACAATACTGATGACTGCTCTCGTTACTCATCTTCTTGCTTCTCATGATCTCTTCTTTGTTTACGCCGCTCCCGCGCCCCTCACGAAGGCTGGCTGCTGGCACACCAGATGCTTCTCAGATGGGAGAGAGGGTATGCTTGTCCCTGCCGCGTCCATGTGCCGGGACGGTGAGCTCGTTTTACGTTTCCGCGTACCTTGACCCGCTGTACGCATTCTGGCTGAGCTCTTCGCTGCCGGCCTGGTTGTCGCCTTCGGTTGCTCGCTGACATGCCCGCGATAGTGACTTGCGTTGAACGAGCCCTGCGCCTCCGGTGTCTTTCTTGTGACAAACCCTGTGTTTCCATTGAGTCTGATTTGACCCGAAGCTCGGCCGCGTCCTCCGGGGGAAGGCGGTCGGCTTCTTAAAGCCACAGTGAATTGTAACGAAGCAACACCAGCGAATAAAATGAGCGACAGTGCTGCGGAGCCAATGTGGGTCCGCGAGTGTACACGGCGTCCAGCATGCGAACCACGAGTACTTGCCAGCTTACATTCTTCCTCTCCCTCCTCCTTTGGCTTTCTCTTTGAGAGCGGCAAGGCACACACAGTGTCGTGGCATTCAACTGAGCCACGAAAGACCTCGATACTCTCTTTCTTCTATTCTCCTTCCATTTCCGTTCATCACGACGGAAAAGTGACACAGCTAAAGCCCGCAATACAGCTTCCATCTCTTGCTGTTGGAAAGCGCTGCCCACTCGCATCTTGCACCAGTGGGGCCTGTTCTTATTCATATTTTTAGTTCTCCTCTATTCCCCTTTCTCTCTTTTGCCGACGAATTGGCGGCGAGGTGATTCCGCCTCCCTGTGGAGAAAGCTCTCAACTCTATTTTTAGTTGATGCTCCACAACCCAGTGCTCGAATTAGGTCTCCAAATGGAACAGGTTGTAGAGCCAGCGACCAATAGGAAGCCTGAGTTTTCTGGGCAGTTTGCCGAAGATGAAGGTCGAGGACAACCTTGCAATTACGCCTTTCTGCAAACGGAGGGTTCAGTTTCCGTCTCCTCCAAGGAAAAGAGAGTCGCGTAAGCGTGATCTAAAGGGATGGCGGCGTGTCGTGTGCGGTCCCTGTCGGGACTAATTGGTTCTCCGTATTCCTCTCCCTGGGCATGGCATCTAACTTCCCCTTCCTTCTCGTTGCTGACAGTTTGTACAACAGCTAGCCGCGCCGATTCTCCCGGGCATTCCCTCCATTTTCCGCCGCCCGTCTGCCGGCGTTGGTTCTTGTGTTTTTTGGGGGTGGGTCGGGGGCCGCAAAATATTGTCCGGCAGGGGCCGCACAGGTTTTTTAAGAGAGCCCCCTGCTGCACGCCTGCCCCCCCCCTCTCGCTCGTCGTTCCGCAGTACCTCTCCATCGTTTAGTTATCCGCAGTAATTCTCTTTCCCCTATTTAAATTGGAATGCTCACCTTAATTCCCCAATGAAAGGCGGCGACAGCGTCATACTCTTTCCCTTCTTAGTTTTCTTATTCCTAGTTTTCTCTAAAGGCATAGCGCTTGTTCTAACCGAATGTAATCGTGGTGATTGTGACCTCTTCTTTTCTTTCTGTTTTCTACGGTTTACCTGAGGCTTTAATTCTGTTCCCGCACCACCCACCCGCCCCTAATTGTGTCAGTGGTGCTAGCAGCAGGTCTTGCCATTGGAAAGGAACGAGGCAGTTGCAACCGTTGTGTCGGAGTCTGGAAGGAGCCAGCGAAGCCGGTGCCACCGGCACTTGCAGCAGATCCTTCTCCCCCGCCCTTCGCTCTCTCCAGTTTAGGTGGCACTAACTCGCGCTTCTTCGTTTCTTTTCTTCTAATTTTATTGTGTTTGCTGTTAAGCGCTCGTTCGCAGTTTTAGCCATCTCATTCGTTGCTCCGAGCAAATGGGGTGCGAAGGGAGAAATGCCGAAGGAACTCCATATTCTCACCCGATGGCTCTCTCAATACCGTACGTGGCGGTAGTAGGTTCCACCAACAGTCTGCGACAGGAGAAGAAAGGAGTATCGACGGAGCCCGATGCCGGAGCGGCGCATCTCAGACTCGAAAAGGCACGAAGGAAGAACTTTATTATTATTATTTATTTTATGCTAACGCCCCAAAACAGGATAATTTTCCCTCTCTTGCTCTTGTGTTGGCCTATTTTGATTTTGTTGATGGACTGTGGGATTGCTTGTCTACAATCAGCGGGTTATGTGGCTTTAGGATGTACCCTCTGACATCCACAAAAGGTACGGTTTGCGTGCTCCACTCTCGATGCGTTAACGCGCGAGGGCTGGGGACTTCGCAAGTCCTTTTTCATTTGTTTTCCATTCCTCGCATCGCCGACACCGAGGTGGCGCTTCTCTTCTCTTACCTCTCTTTTTCCGCTGTGGGTTTTCCTCCGTTTCAGGCTTTCCGGGGTTGCGCATGCTGATGCGCGGCTTGGTGTGTATGTGTTGGGTCTGGCGGTGCGCGCCGCCCGGCCCGGGGAGGTGGTGGTGGTAGAGGAGAGCAGGGTGGGGATCGGATGGGAGAGGCGCCGCGGCGGTGTCCGGGCGTTTGCTTGCGTTTTCTTTTTGGCCAGCAGACGATGTCACGCGGTGTGTGGGTCCATTCGCTGAGCGAGATGGCGCCACTTCCTGTTCCATGTCTGTTGCCGTGATTGGATTGCTTTTCTCTTCTTTGCGGATCATCTTAGTCGCGTTAAAACGATTCTGTGAAGGAAAACCCGCGACGCAACAGCCTTCGAGTTGTTCGCACAAGACAGCACAATTCCGTAAACAAACAAAGGCCTTTCCTGCCTTCACACATCGGTCGACAACACAACGCACGCCACTTCATTTTTCTTTTCCTTTTTCTTTTTTATCGTCTTGTGCTTCGCAAGCTCTGCGTATCGTTGCGGGGGTTCCTCTCTCTTCCCGACACTTCCCAGTTCTTTCTTCGCGTGCTTCATGCCGCCAGCAAACGCCGCACCAGTTGCGTGGCCGCGCTGAAGTTCACTGAGCCCTCCACACAGTGCAGCGACGGGGCAGCATCGCCCGTGGCGGGTGGCCGCGCCGCCCACTCCTGCGCGAAAAGGTCCGCCAGTCGCGCCGGGCCGTCGACGGCTTCGTCGTAGACGGATCGCACGAGGTAGTGGCCGCGAAAGAGGTAGTCGCGACCGCGCGTCAGCAACTCCGGCAGTCCACCAGCGTGCAGCGGAACACGCCGCACACGCGTGTGCGCCGGCGTCGGCGCCGCTCTGGCGAGCTCGTCGACGCTCCAGTCCAGCATCACCACCCCGGCGAGTGCGCTGACGCCGGCTGGTTGCCACGGTGACGATGCTTCATTGCTGCTGCTGCTGCTGCTGCTGCACACGTCGCGCAAGGAGACGTGGTAATGCATACTCATCTCCCAGAGAACGCGGTCCGTATTGGCGAGGAAAGTGCGAAGGCCGGCGTCGGTGCGTAGGAAGGCTGGCAGAGTAGTTGCGGCGGCCAGCGACGGATTTGGATGCAACGTGCCAAGGACGGCACCGATGCCTACTTTCACTCGGTGCGGCAGCGCGCAGAGGAAGACGTGGGGAGGCAGATCAGAATTGGGGGGCATGTGTGGGCGCAGCATGCGCTGCACGGGTGTGCCGGCACCGATCAAAAAGTGTTCCGCTGCGGTCAGGCGCAGCTGGACGTCGTCGCCCCCATGACTCGTGTTGTTGCTCACCGTGTTAGAAGTAGGATAGCGATGGTGATGGCTGCGCGGGTGCGATTCCGCGGTGGCGGGTGCGACGCAGTGCAGGGCAAGGGTCGTCTTGCCGCTCGATCGCGGGCCCACAATCACCACACATTTCCCCGTGCGCGGGCTCGACACGACGGCACCGTTCAACCACGCCGCGTTGTAGTTTGGCAAAATCGCGGCGGACAGGGCGAGCTCCGCCGCACGGCGGTGATGCCCCGCTGCAGTCGACGGTCCGCTCAGAGCGGACACCGGCACAGGGCCCGCCGCAGACGTCGGAAGAAGGGCAGAAGCCTCCCCAAAGACACACCACCGGTCCAGCAGCTCGCTCGACGCGTAGAACGGGGAGAGATTGAAGGGCGGCAGCTGCCGGCACAGCGCGGCGCCGCTGCGACGTGCGTCAATCAACGCGCCCGTCGTCACGCCGGTGTGGGCGGTCAGCCGCTGCGCCACAAAGCCGTCAAGCAGCGGCTGCCGAAGCCACCTGACGGGCGGCAGGTACGGCGCGGGTGGTGGCGGTGGTGCGAGGGCGAACCCGCCCGGACCGTCCGCGTAGGCGTAGTCGTAGGCGTACGTCTCCCCGCGCAGCACCCCCTCCGTCCACTGCTTCGCCTCGGCAGCGAGGTAGGCCGGGTAGCCGAGCGGGGCGGCGGGCGGGCCGACGTGTGCCGACACCCGTGCGGAGGCGATGATGGACGGCGTGCCATCAGAACTGCCGCCGGCGTCGTCCGCCTCAACACGGTCCAGCCCTTCTCTCGTACGTGGACCCACATGGAGGAAGGCGTCGTCGTACTCGGTTCCCCACCAGTCCGCAACGGCGCGGTGGTTCGTGGAGAGGTGGAGAACAATTGCGGCTGGTGGGGGCGTGTCGCAGGTGGAAGGAGATGCGGACGAGGCCGAAGATGCCGCAATGAAGATCGGAAGACGAAGAGTGGCGTGGAGAGGGGTTGGCAGAAGTCGGCCGTTGAACAGGTCGTCGACGTGAAGTTGGCGCCACCGCTGGAAGGCCTTCTCGGCTGCGCGTTGGTGGCCTTTGCCGCGCATTACGGTGTGGAAAACAGAATTTAGAAATAATGAATCACAATACCAGTACTAGTATTACAACGACGACGGCAAGGCGAACCCCACCTGTTTCGGCGACACGTGGCGCAGGGGGGTTGCGGGAAGGCGGGCACGAGTGCGCCACCGAAGCGTAGAACGATGAAGGGGACGCCGCGGCCGTAAAAGGTGCTCCTTCTTCTTGGCCGTGTGCTTCCTGCTCCGCTTCCAATGAAAAGAAGAAGGGGGGAGAGGGGGAGGAGAGTGGCCTGCTTCCCAACGCTCATGCCGTTGTTCTGCAAAAAGAAAAAGAAAAAGGAGAAGGATGTTGAGGGGCTGCTTCGACAGCACCTCAAGTGGAAGGACAGCGTCGTTGCCTTCAGCCAGTCCTTTATATTTGTATTTGCGTGTGTGTGTGTTTGCAGCGACGCGGTATCACGCTGTGGAAAGGAGACACCCATACGCCTACACACACACGCACACGCAATCAGCTAGTTCGAACGTTGTGGTTATCAGCTACTCGACAATGGAAGGACGGAGAAACCGCCACCACAGCAACACACACACACGCATACGCACGCATTTCGCGAGTCTACAACAGTAATAGCGGAGAGATAATCAAACAAGCAAAAAACGAAACAAACCAAAAACAGCCGACTGCATTCCACGGACGGAAGCGTGTGTATTTCGGGCATTTTGCCGCTTTCTCTCTTGCTCTTCTCTTTCCCCGACAGTGTGTCGCGGCGCACAACCACCGTGTGGCCCTTGTGGTCGGGCACTGTACTCTCTTTCCACCGCTGTACATCCTCCATGCAGAGATACCGTGTGCGTGATGAGGGACTCTTTCATTCGTTCGCCACCCCCCTCACACACACAGAGAGATCCGATTTGACCGTCATCCGTTGATGACGAGGGAGTGCGGTTTCTCGTGCGAGGCGGGCCGCACGTGCAGCTCTTCCATCTTCAGCGCGTACTCCGTCTGCATCTTTTCGTGATCCGTCATTTCCTCCCACAGGACGTAGAGCAGCGCCGCGACAGCCAAGAACACAATTGCGACCACGTTGCAGTACCACGGCGAGTCCCCGTCGTCCTGCACGTTCCAGCTCGGCACAATCACCAGCATCAGCGCCGTGACGGGCGAGGAGAGCTGGCTGACAATGGAGCACAGCGCGGCGCTGTAGTGGTTCAGATAGGCACAACCCACGTAGGTAAAGACGAAGCCGAGCGTGTAGAGGAAGCAGTACAAGAAGTTCTCCTGGATCGTGAAGACGCAGCGCAGGCCCTCTCGGAAGTTGTCCCACGTGGCGGACACCGTGGCACTGTTACCCCACCACGGCAGCGCATCCGCCGGCAGCAGCGCGAGGGTGAAGCACATCTGGAGAAAAGTCTCCCCGGCCAGCATCACCAGCTTCACGATGGTGTCCTCGCCTTGGTGGTAGCGAACGGTGAACAGGGTCTGCGTCGGCAGCGGGGGCACCGCGGCGGCTGTCGTGGAACCGAACACATCGTCCTCCCCTTCCCCCTCTCTGCCAACGCCAAACGTGTCTGCGTGACCGGCCACGGCTGGTGCATCGCTCGCCAGAGGAGGCAACACATCTTCCCCGCCGTCATCCGCGACGCCGAGGACGGCGTGCTTCGTCGAAGGCGCCGCCTTGAAAGCGCCGTCGTAGCGAACCTGATGCCGCTGCTGCTGCTGCGGCGGCGGCGGTGGCGGTGGATGCTCATGTAATGCGGGAGTGGGGGCGGTGATCGTGATGGTGGGAACCGCCGAGTCGCTGTCCAAATCACTCGTCAGCACCAGCGCGAGATCTTCTTCCTTGTGCCTGTGCTGCTGTGCTTCGTCGACCTCGTCTTTGCATTCCAGTTCGTCTTGTGTGTGCCTGCCGCTGTTACACGTCATCCGTGCTGCCGTTTCCCTGTTGGCCTTCTCGTTCATCAAGTCGTCATCGCAGGAGTTGTCTAGCGAGGTGGCCGCCGAGTCAGGTGCCTGTGCACCGCGTGACGGATGAGATGGGGGATCAGCACAGCCTCCATGCAAGTCGCGCACCGCTGCTGTCTTGGGCGTTATGTGGTCCCCCTCTGTGTCCACGGCAGCCGGCGTTTCGCCCTCCTCCTCTTCCGCAAAGCGGACGCGCAGCCACGAGACGAAGTTTGGATCGCGCGTGTACACGATCATGTACAGTGACTGCCACACGTTCATGAGTACGCGCACCGGCATCGACAGAGAGAAGATCAGGATCCACCACTTCCCCTCGCTCACGTTGCGGTCGCGGATCAGGCCGTACAGCGAGGCGGCCAGGATGCCGCAGATGGTGAGCACAAAGACGGAGGTGATGTAGACGTTGGCGTAGCGGCGGGTGTCGCGCAGGATCCACTTGGCGAGAAACACCGCGTAGAGGGGGCAGAGGTTTGTGAAGAGGGCCTGCAGCACCTCGGACGTGTACGTCGCCGCGTAGGTCGCCATCCAGCTGTTGATGGCGTCGCAGAAGCCAACGCCGGCGAGAATCGCCCATCCATGCAGATGGGTCGCAAAGCGCAGCGACGGGCGGCGAAGGGCGGCGTACGCGCCGAAGAGCAGCACAAAGAGAATAGCGAAGAAGATACCAGGCACGGCGAAGGCCGTGTAGTTGCCAGGCGTGCCGTCCGCCGGAAACGAGATGAGCCAGAAGTTTAGCATGACGATTTGCATGAAATTCCCAACCATGACGAGTGCCACAAGAAGAACGACCCAGAGAATGCGCTTCCACGTCATGTCACGCAGTCGCGCACGGAAGGCGTCGATGGAGGGCGTGATCGTTGACAGTAGGCAGCGCAAGACGGCGTGGGATGGGCTCTTCGCCGGCACGGTGGCGGACGCTGTCGGCGATCGCGGGCTGTCATCGTGGATGCTGTGGGGGACGACAGAGGTGAAGGACACGTTGTCCACGAGACGCACCGCATCCGGCGTCGTTGCTGCTGCTGCTGCTGCGGCGGCGTGCGGGGGCCACTCCAGCAAGCGGTTCAGCGCAGTAACACAGACAGAGGGGTTCGTGCTCGGCGAGGAAAGCGACCGCTGCTGCGGCGAGGGGCTGCGAGTGTGCAGGTTGCTGCCGTTGGGATGGCTGTGGTGGTGATCGCTGCCTGCCGCTGCAGTAGTAGGCGAAAGCAACGGGGCGGTGGGAGCAGCCATGTGCAGGTCCTCCTCGTGGGGACTGACGGGTGACCGCACATCTTCACTGCGTGGGGTGCGATAGGCCACATCGTAGATGTCCAGGCTCGCGCTGCTTCCGTTTCCGCGGCTGCCGCGCGGCTGCGCCAGGAAAGCTGGGTCTGCGTAGGGCATTTGTTGTTTATATAGAGGCGTGGATCACCACACACACACACAGGAAGAAACACGAGGGGAAGACAGCAGGGAGTGAAACCAACACGCGTACTGTACACCCCGATTCAGCCAGACCGCAACGAGGAGGTGTGCGTTGGCTGCTTTAAGCGCTTGATGTGTGGAAGCTAAAAACAAAAAGAAAAGAAAAGGGTGACTCGACGATGTAAGACGACAGCAACGGAGCGAGAGGTAAAAATCAAGCCAAAGCCACTCCGACCCCACTTCACTGAAGCAAGCACGAACCGGTGCGAAGAAGGCTGCGACCGTTGCTCTTTAAGCAATCACGACGCCACAAGAATTAGCGAGTGGGCTTTCGAAAGGAAGAAGGAAAAAAAATTATAAAAAAATACACGCGATGGAGTTCGCACGAAACCTGAAGCCCCTCGTTCTCTGTACCGCATATATGTGTGAATACAGCCGGATTTGTAAGAATGAGAGAGACGCAGCGGGGCCAACAACCTCACAAGACCTACGGTAAACGATGTGCGTGCGTTGTGCGTGCGCTTACGGCACAGGTGAAGCAGACGTAGAGGAAGCGACACCCACCGCAAAAAGAGAGGAAGGCGAGGCGGCAGGCCGAGATGCATTCAACAGAACGACAACGACGCACGCTGCACGGCCCCTTTCGCACTTGAAAAAGAAACACCAGTTAAAAATACGAAAATACTTTGTTTATGTGTCCGCTTCCAAACAGAACCCCCCTCAGAAAGACGGTGGAGGGTAATGAGAAACGGAGAGCTCCCTTCAGGCAGCTGCAGCTTTCCAATGATTCGCCGGAATATATATGTAAGCTTTTTGTTTTTCTTCTTCACCTCCACACAGAAAAGATCAGCGACAAGGAACCAAGGTTTGACAGCGGCAACACATAGACACACTCGCGGAGACGACGACGAGAGAAAGTGGGAAAGAGGGAATAGAAAAACAGAGTTACTTGTATACGTATGTGTTCTTTGGCTCACTTACTTCAATAAAGACAAAAAACACTCCTGTGCAGGGAACTATGCAAACCTTCACAACTATTATTTATATTTCTCCCTTTTCTCTACGAAGTAAGCACCCTTCCAAGGAAGACGGAAATGGGAAGAGGGAGGTTCTAAAGCGACACAGATCCGGAACTCGCCACGTGTAGGGGACTGAGCGCCGTTCTCAACAAACTCGAGCGCTTCCTCAGCGACGATCGCACAACGCTCTACGATTGAAGAGCAGCAAGAAAGAGGAAGAAGAGTAGGCGAGGGGAAAACGAAAGACGTGGAGAAGTATGCGAAAGAGCGCGCGTACGTGCGTGTGTGTCTTGTGCTCTCGAGAAGGCAAAAAACAAAAGGAAAGACTATAATGCAAGAGAACAACGTTGAACAACAAGAAAAGCGGTGCAGCGTGGCGATTCTTTCTTCTTTCTTCTTTCTCTTCACTAATTCTGTGAAGAGGAAAAACAAATGTAAGTGAAAACAAAAAGGCTTTTACACGTGCTGGTGTTCCTTCTTCTTTTCTTTAAAGATGGTTTTAAAAAATACCTTTATCGTGTTGCTTGACTGAATTAGTCAAACAAACAAACACACACACACACACAGACACAGACACATACAAGCACAGGCGGATCTGTGTGAGAGAGAGAGAGGGAGAGAGGGAAGGAGGGAGTCAGTCAACGCGGTGACAGGAAGGATAAAAGAAAAAGAAGAAGAACGACTAATGTTAGGTGAGGGGCATGTAGCGCGGCTTTATCCTGCTTCGGGTGAGCATAAGGTTCGTCACAAGCATAGCACAACAAGAGGCAACAGTAAGCGAAAAACAGAATTCTTTTGTTATTAGAAAAAGAAAACTAAATGAAAACAAAAAAAGTACTACTAATAGTATTACGAGACACGAAAGCGTATCGAGAGGGGAAATATATATATATGTGGAAATTAGAAATCAGGAACGAAGACTTTTTCCCTTTTAAACAAGAGTTAATGATAGCGGATTGGGGAGGAATGGGTTTAGCACTTCCCTTTTTTTTCCTTCTTTTTTGCTATTCCTTTATCTGCTACGCCATCTGCAAAAAAAAAAATTGGCGTCACGGGAGGGAAAGGTACAGTTGGCCGGGTTGGATGATGAACGGCGTGAGTTTGCGCGTACTGCGTGTGTGCCCGTGTGTTCGGCGTGTCCGTCCGTCATTGAGGAGGGGAGGTGGCCGAGTGATGGTCGGAGAGAGAGAACCAGAAAAAAAGGAGGCGACGCAACAGGGAGAGGAGGGAAATGCCACCGAGTTGCGTGTATTTAATAGCAACAACAACAACAACATACGTTTGGTATGTGTGTTTGCAACACCAAAGAGGAAAACGGCAGAGCGAAGCGAAACGGAGGGTGAGAGGTGAGGGGTGATTGAGTTGTACTCCCGCTAACAAGGAACAGAGAAGAGCGCGCCTGCGCGCCGGCGCATACACCGCGCGAGAGAGATCGTCGCTTGACCGGATCTGCACCGTGTAAGAGGACCCACCGCCAACACGTTCTCTGAGCGTGTGTGTGTGCGTGTGTGCTGTGGAAGTCTGAAAGAGCGCAAAGAGAGAGAGAGAGGTTGCACCATGTCGTTGTGAGAAGCTACACGAAGTGAAACGCGCGCCGTCCTTTTTTTTTGGTATTTGCTTAATCCTGACGGTTTATATATAAAACACACCTGCAACGTGGCTGTGCGACGCAGGTAGGCGCTGCTGAGTCCCTATCCTCTTCTCGCTTTACAGTTTGTCGGGTGTCTTCGTCTTTTAACACGCCACAAAGCCCAGGTGCGTAGCACGTGTCCACCAAATCCCCCAAAAACCACAAGAGCAAGAACGAAGAAAAGAAATAACAGCGGCCAAGAACACGTAGAGGAGGGCCACCCGGATCATTGCAAAGGCCGCCGCCACACGAAGCACCAAACGATCGACATTAAAACTCTAACGTGCAGCGCTGAGATCACCAGAAGGCCTACTCCAGTGACCCGCTGTTGTTTTGATGATGTGGGCACACACACACGCTCACACACACCCGGAGGGGGTGGGCGGCGCGGAAACACCGCAAGAAAGCCCCCCTTCCCCCCTCCCAAAAAAGAAAAGAAAAGAGAAGAAACACACAACCGCACAGTACCGCCACCACCTTTGCCAAATATTTATCGATACATATATATATATATATATATTTAGAACACACCAGAATAAACTGCCAACTCACCCAAGTAACAGAAGAGGCTTACAGGGAAATAGGTAGTAGTAGTAGCCGCATTAAAGAAAGAAAGCGTCTGGACATCTTTCTACTGATGTGAGGCGACACTCCTCAATATATGTATATGCATATATAAATGCTGATCAAAGAGCGCAGAGGAGAAGGTGAGGGGGAGAGACCCACGTACACAGGTCTCCGCAACGCCAGCTCCTTGGCCGTCTCACCCCTTTCGCTGTATCCTCCGCTTGAGCGAGGAAGACCTCCTGCATCGGATCACACGCGTGTGTCGGAAGCCCCCACACACACACCTACACACAAAGGTTTACGGTAGCTTTCCGCTGCACTTCAATTATTCGCTTTCATCTCTGTCGATGTCCTGAAGGGTACGACAGAACAACGGCGGCAGAAGAGAGCTGCTGCGCGCGAGCCGACATGAAAGCACGCGCCAGAGAAGAAAAGGAGCGGCATGATGGCGGCACAGGGGAGGACGTCCCCCCCTCAAAACAAAACAAAACAAAAAGAAGAAGGACAGAGAACAACCAAAGCTGACCGTTGCATCACTGGATACGCGCCCGCTGCGGACAGCGAGGCGAAGGAGAAGACGCTGAGAGAATTCGTTGAGAAGATAGTTGATGCGGGTAGTTGCGAGCATAGAACAGGAAAGAAGAAAGAGCTGTGCACTGCTTAAATGGAGGATAATAGCAAGAATAACATCATCAACGCAGACCACACCGACAGACACAGACACAGACACAGACACAGACATAAACCAGTTTGAATCATCATCAACACCACCTTCCTTAAATAAACCCAAGCAGCACCTTTTGTGGGACTTCTTCATGCAAAGAACAAACCGAACCAAAAACAGAGAGAGAAAAGCGGGCGTCAACCTCGCCTCACAACGCACCTCCAGAAAAAAAATAATAGATATGCCTTTCACGCGGATGTCTGTGCATGTGCGTGTATATACACACACACACAACAACAGCAACAAACCTTGGCGCGCAATACCTTATAAAAACGGTTTCTTAACTCCAACCCCAACTCCAACTCCAACTCCAACAACAAAAGAATATCAGAAATCAGTCAAAAGCACACACACACACACACGAGATCAGCAATAAAAGAAAAAAAGAAATCATAATAATATACAAATAACAAAGGATATTCCGTCAATGGTGATTCTCGGCGACATCACCAGAGGGACGCGGTGGTCGCGGCGCGTCTGGGTCGTGGTCAACGACCACCACATAGCTGGACTGGCGACGTGGGCGGTAGCGCCGCGTCCGAGAACGACGATAGTGATGCTGCTGCTGCTGCGAGTCCGTGTCATTTTCCTCACCCGACGGCCCGTGCCGCCGTGCCTGCTCCTCCATCATCGCCCACTTCAGCTGCATCTCGCCGCTGGCCTTCTCCTCGCCTGTCATCTCGTCCCAGTAGACGTAAATAATTGTGCCGCAGGAGAGGAGTACGACGGCGAAGACGCTGACGTACCAGGGCGCGGCATCACCCGTCATATTCAACGCCGGAAAGGCGATCAAAACGAGGGCCGTGATGGGGCCCGAGAGCTGACTCACCATGGAGCACAGCGTGACGCTGTAGCGGTTGAGGTAGGCGGAGGCGATGTACACCAGCACAAAGCCCATGCTGTACAGCAGGCAGTAGCGCAGGTTACGCGGGCAGTGCAGGACGCAGTCCACGCCGTCGTCCAGGTTTTGCCACACCTCCCTGAGCGAGTCGCTGCCACCGAACCACGGCAGCGCGTCCATCGGCATCAGGAGGAAGCCCATGAGCGCCTGGAGGGTCGTGTCGGCGGCCAGCATGACGATCTTCACCGTTGCGTCCTCCCCGTGTAGGCGCAGCTCGCTGGAGGGGATGTGCAGGCGATGCTGACGCTGCAGAAAAGTCCCCTCCGCCTCCTCGTCCGAGTTGGCCGCTTCAGAGGAGCGAGGGGAGGCGAGGTCGGACGTCGGTAAGGGTCCGGCCGGCGCAGCTTCCGCAGAGGCCGGTGATGCAGCTGTGGCGCTCGCCGGGGGACTCTCCCGTCGCGGCTGCGACCCCCGCGCCCGCGTGCGCGAAGCCGACGTCTCGTGAAGGTCCGCCGCGGCCTTGGCCTCCCCCGCCTGGCCTTCCACGTCATCAACCTCTCTCTCCCGCACCCCGGTTCTCGCACGTCCGCTGCTCGCGATGGACGTGCGCAGCGTCGAGTCCTCCGCGTCCCCCTCGTGCTCCAGCAAATACGCCGTCATCTCGTCCGTGTACGTGTAGCGGATCATGTACATGGTCTGCAACACGTTCAGCAGCACCGTGGGTGGGACGGAGAAGAAGAAGATGAGGCACCAAATTTGCTTATCGCGGGTGGCGGCGGAGGGCGGGGGGTCGGAGGCGGCGAAGAAATTAAAGAGAAAGGTGGGCGTGTGCCGGGCAGCGAAGCCGTGACGACCGCTGATGCTGCTGCTGCCGTCGTCGTCCGCGTGGTGGTGACCCCTGTGCGTGGCGGCGTAGCTGAAGAGGGAGGCGAGCGCCACGCCGGCCATGATCAGCGCGAAGCTGACCACCACGTACACGTTCGCGTAGTTGCGCGGGTCCTTCAGGAGCCACTTGGTGAAGAAGGCCGAGTAAATCGGCACGAGCGAGACGAAGAGAGCCTGAAGCACCTCGGGTGTGTGCGCGGCGGCGTAGATCGCCATGGCGCTGTTCAGCGTGTCCATCGCACCAATGCCCAGCAGCAGCCACCAACCGGCCCTTTCCCGTGCAAACAGCAAAGAGGGGCGTCGCCACAGCCAGTACACGAGGAGGAGTACCACGAAGAAGAGAGCGAAAATGACGGCGGAGATGATGAAGGTCGTGTAGCTGCTCTCCAGCGCTTCCGCCCGATCGGGGCCGCCGCTGCCGCTGTGAGAGGAGGAGGACGAGGAGGACGACGACTTCGTTGGAAACTGATGAATCCAGAAGTTGAGGAAAATAACCTGACAGGCGTTGCCGACCATCAACATCACGACGAGCAGGACGACCCAGCAGAACTGCAGGAGCGAGGTGGTACGAACGCGACGCAGGACGAACTCGATGAGCGTCGGTGGCGGGTTCGCGGAGGAATGGGAGAAGGGACCCGCGTCGCGGCACGGCTGCCCGCCATCGTTGCTGTCGTCGTTCCTTGCACGGGCGACGACGCCTCCATCGTGGTCGTCGTTCGTGTTCACACTCGCGTACCCCAAAGGACCGCGGCGAGCGCTTCCTTGGTTGCTGAGGTGTACCTGCCCCGACTTGGCCGGCGAGGAGGTGCCCCTCCCCTCTCCCTCCCCACCGCCGCCGCCTTCGACGGCGACACCGCTGCCCTTCATCACATCCGTGCGCCCGTTGATTGTCTCAGTACAGTGTGGATCGTAGGAGGACTCCTGGCCTGCCGCGTAACGTGGCGCCTCTTCCGTCGTCTTCTGCGTGCGTTGCAGGGGACTTCGATGAAGCACGAAGCCGGCTTCTGCCGCGTCGCGTTCGGTGCTGCTGCTTCGCCGAGCGACTTGGAAAGAACGACGATCACTTCGTCCTCCGGCGGAGTGGAGATCGCTCGGCCGTGTCACGGCGGCCTCCGCACCGGCTGTCTCACCCTGCATACGATTCTCACCGTCTGGAAGAACCTCACCAAATCGACGCGAGGAACCGCTCGCCACCCCCTCAGCGGCGGCCGTATCCGATGCGACGGTGCTGGTGAACGACGATCGCTCACCGACGATGACGCTCTGCGTGCCGGCGTCGTCGCTGACGCTTGACGCGGTGCCGTACGACTTAATCGACGGGGACGGTGGGGACTGCAGCAGCGGGGAGTGGCCGCTGTTGTGGTTGTGGTGCTTGGTGACAAGACCGCCGTTGGCACCTGCGCCAGCTGGAAACGGCGCAGCAGCCGAAGAGCGAGAGGAGACTGGGGTGGACAACGAGGGAGCACTCGAAGAGGAGGATGTGCCGTAGCTGTTCTGCTGATGCTGATGATGGTCGTGACTGCGCAGCTGCCGTGCGGGACGCGGGTTGGAGGACAACAACACAGGCGCAGGGATGGCCGACCCAGAGGAGATCGGCATGCCAAAGGCGTCGAAGCGGGTGTCAGCGGGGGTGGAGCCAAAGTTTGTTGGCGGTGCGGTCGCAGTCATGCCTGGCGAGAAAGGTAGAAAACCAAAAAACAAACAGAACAAACAAGCTGACAAACAGCGGGAAAAGGAAGAAGCAAGCGGAGTAATAACGAATAGGTTTGATGCTATCTGTTTTCTCTCTCCTCTTTCCTTTCACTACCGGCGCGTCAAGACGCGGGTGTCAGCTGCACGTACCGGTCTTGCTTGCTTCCTCGAACAGCAGCAGCAAACGCGCAAGAGCAACAACAACGGCCAGAAAAGGAGAGAAAGAATCCTGCCGGAGATCAATAAATAAATATGTATGAATGTGGCGCTTCACAAGACACAATCCTCCTCTCTCAAGAAGAGAAGTTATTATGAATATCGTTGAAGGCCACAAAAGAAAACAGCAGCAGCAATAACAGAAAGATCAAAAGTAATAATACCAGAAACGGAAAAGGAAGGAAGACAACAGAGAAGGGAGACGTGCAGCGCCGATGACAGAGACAAACAGCAGCCGGTGTGATTGGTAAAGGCAGTGCGAGGCGTCAAAACAGAGTTTACAGCCACCCCTTGAAAGCGAGAGAAGGAAAGAACGCGGACACAACTACACAGGGAGCGTCCCACAGACTCTTGTGCCACCAACACCAACAACAACAAAAAAGAAGGCTGAGGCAGCGAGGTGGTAGAGCCGAGGGGGCTATAAGCTACCCAAGATACAACACACAGTAATGGAAAGGGAAAAGCAAATCACCCAAAGCGACGAGCAATGAAGCTAAATATATAGAAGATGAATAAAGAAGAAGAGTAAGGAGAAGAAGAACAAAAAGACACGAGGACAAAAGAAAGTGTGTTTCGGGGGAGTTGAACTTCGGCTTCCCGTGAATCGGCTTCACGATCGTATGGGAACGTGGAACACACGAATCAATCGATGCAGTGGCACCTAAACCAGCCAACGGGGGGGGGGGGGCGAGTAAAATACGATGGTGGGCAACGTACACTTATAAAACCAACAACAGCAACAACAACAGTAACGTGTCAGGCACACCGGAAAGATCCACAAAAAGAGAGAAAGAAAGAAAAGAAATAGGAGAAGCAGTAACTACAGTGGCTAGGTGCGCCGTGCGTCCGTGTGCGCGTGTGTGCTCCCCACAGGCGAGAGAGAGAGAGAGGTAAAACGCAGTCACTCTGTCAGTAGTGGAGTTTTTACGGTAGGCGAGGAAGTGCCACCCACTGTATATGCTGGTTTTCGTTTGTGCTACGAACAACTTCTAGTCCGGTGAAGTGGTGAAGGAGACGCGAGGCGACTGGACAACTGGAGCCGGTGTGACAACAGAATAAAGTGAAGAGTGTGGATGTACACGGAGGAGGAGGGGACGGAGAGGACGAGGGGGAGAAAGAGAGAGCGCAGTCGTCGAAACGTGAAGGAAGAAAAGAACGCGAGGATGGAAGCCAAAGGACCGTTAGTTGCTGAGATGCCATGATAGAAAGGCGCCGGTAGGAATCATTGTCAGCAAACACGGTGGGGACAAAGTTCCAGTTGGGTTCCCTGTCAAAGCACCACGAAGTGATGCTGGATTGCCTTTCCCTAAGAGACACCGCGCGCGTCAAACTGGCCGAGCTTGTTTTTCCTTTAAAAAAAAAACACTTTTTGGCTGTTTACGTTTGCGTACGCCGACGTCGTCCTGTGGAAAGAAGAAGAACAAAATAGTTAAATAGAAACGGAAACGTGAAGAAAACGAGTAAGAAAGAGCACGTGATGGCACCGCAACTGAGTATAACTCTCTCAGCGGAGGAGTTCGCTTGTGTGTGTGTGTGTATACAACTCTGAATCAATGGTGATGAGGAAAACCACAGTTCGTGTGTGCGGACAACACGGATGTGGGAGGGTAGGCCACGCAGAAACAGAAAAGAAAAGGCGAAAAGAAGACCCCACCTTTTTTCCCCCACCTCAGCTCTGTGCGCAATCGACGTAAGAGCAGCAGCAATACTAACGCCGCATACACGCACGCACGCAACAGCAACAACAGCAACAACAACAACAAAGGAACACACATACACAATCAAGCAAAGAAACAACACAAGCGACGATACACACACGCGCCCCGCGAAGCAACGGCCCTGCTGCAACCGTCAGACAGCTAAAACATCGATTGCTTCCCTTCCTCTCTCTCACCTTCCTTCTCTTTCGTTGAGCTTGTATGTGTGTGTGTGTGTGGAGGCATCGAACATTGCCTGCTGACGCACCGCCTCCCTCAGCCCTTTTCCCCCTTCACAGTAACGCAGGCGGCTCTCCCATCAAGCACTCGGAAGGCTGTCTACGCGCTTCAACAGATGAATCACTTCGTGGGAGGCCGTCTTCGCCTCCTGCTCCGAGCCGACGCCGGCGAGAAACTCGTACCGCAGCTTCTGCACCAGCACATGCTCCAGGGAGGCCTCGCCGTACACTTGCACGACCGCCTTCTTGGCCGACTCAAACAACCCTGTCGCGTAGAGGTAATCGCGGGTGTCGGCGTACATGCACGCCATCGCCAGCAGCGTCGACGCGGCAGTTGGGTTCTGCCGCAGCTCGGGATGCAGCATACGATTGAGCTTCAACGCCTTGTCCAGCGCTTCTCCGGTGCGTCGACGGCAGCTTTCCAGCGTCAGCGGCACGGTGTTGCGGATATCGCTGTACATCAGCGGCGACGACGTCGCCACCGTCAGCAGCGGGTTCAGGGAAAATATTTGCTTGGGCAGGAAGACGGGGGCATCGCGCGTCGACGTGGCCGGTGGCCGCGGTGCGTTCTGCAAGAAGCGTGCGTAGCTGCGAAGGCAACAGGTGTAGGCCTCTGCCTCAAAGCGCCGGGTCGGCAGGTGCGTCTCCGACATGATGCCGTCTGCGTCGATCGTCGTCACGTACGGCTCCGGGTAGAACCGAAGGGCCTCGTCATACGCATGCAACAGGTCATCCTCCACCTGCCCGACCGGTGCCTCCCAGTCGAAGATGAGCGACGCCATTTCAGCCCGCAGCAGCAGGAACAGGCCCAGCTCCGGCTCCTGCACCCGACCGTTGAGGCCGTCGAGGAGCAAGTTCGTGCGCCGGGTCAGCGAGTCCACGTAGCTCAACGCCTGGAGAACAAGCTGCTGCGCCTGCAATAGGTGTCCCGTCAGCGGGATCGTCAGCAGCGCCTTCAGCACGAGCAGCTTCGGCCGCAGCCACCGTAGCTCCGGGTGCGTGGTGCCGTACTTCCCGTAGGCTGCCGCGGAGAGGCGAAGAAGCTCGTCGACGCGTGACATCACGGCGGAGAGCGTCAACGACTCGCTTTCGCAGTCGCCGACTTGCACTTTCCATTTGTCAGCGTTGAAGAGGGCGGTGTTCTTCACCGGCGGCGTGGCGGAAGGTGTTGGCGCCGTCGCACCACCGACCCGCTTGGCTGGATGCCTTACTGCTGCCGCAGCGGTCGTCGATGACTGCGCCTGGTGAAAGGGCCGAAGGTGCAACGCGCAGAACGCCTTTACGAAATGACCCACGATCACACACGTGGTGTCGAGCTGATTCACGTCCGTCTTGTCCCACGCATCGTTGTGGTAGAGCAAGGCGGCGGATTGCTTCAGGATGACCTTCTGCACATGCTCGTGCATCGCGTACGCAGACCGCGGCAGGTGCTCGCTACCGTTTAGCAACTCAAACCGGGCCGCGAACAGCGGCCGGATAAGATTTGCGACGGCGGAGCTGCCGGCACCGCCGACGCTGTTTAAAATGTCGATGCCGCGCTCTAACAGTTCGAGACTCTTCGTGTTGTCCTTCTGCGCTTCGGCGGCGGACACGTCGGTGGTGGGCCTGGCAGAGGTGGAGACGGTCGTCGTCCACCGCGCAGGCGGTAACCCGTGCAGCGGCTTCCCGCCCTGGTGCCCTTCGTATTCCGCAAAAGAAGGCGGAGTAGAGGGAGAGGCGTCCCCGCTGCTGCTGCTGTGTTGGGGTGTGGCCCTCGCGGAGTGACGCGTCATGAGTGCGACGGCGTCGTTGATCTCTGGGATCCCCGCGGGGTGGATGTGCGTGGCAGGGTGGAAGCGGGGGTAGTAAAAGCCGAGCTCCGCCGGGTGCTGCATAAAGGACGGCGCGCATGTGTGGCGCACATCGATGCGACGTGCGAGACTACGACGAAGCATGAATAGAAGTGTGAAGGGTGTGTGTGCGAATGGGGAAGAGCAGCTAGGCTGCTCCACAGCTGATTCGAGTACGAGAAGCGCGCTGATGCGAAGGTGCAGGAGGACGTAGACAGAAAAGGGCAAGTCAAACAAACAAACTAACAATCAAAAAATATGAAAGACAACCGACGCGATGTGTACCGAGGAGAGCAAAACTTGAGCCAATTCTTATTAATGTTTCTTTAATAATAAGTTCGTATTACTAAGCAAGCGAAAGAGGTGATGATGACGAGGTAAGAGGGCGGCCGCAGCGCGCGTTCACCGCGTCCAGGCCTTCTCCTTTCCTACAGAGAGGGGGAAAAGAAGATATTAAACAAGGAAGCTTCCTTGGTTCAACAGCAACAACACCAAATTTCAAGGGAGATACTATTGTTCTTGAACTCAGCAAAGCAGCAGATTACATGCAACGAAAGGACGCAGCAGTGTGTGTGTGTGTGCGCCAAAGGAATAGGCGTATAAGTGAACCCCACCAACAGCACTTAACGCGACAGCACACGCCCAAAACGGTTGGGCACAGGACGGATGAGTCAAGAGAGAAGAAAATGAGAAAGAGAAAGGAGATGACATGGAAGTTACACAACGACACCGCGTTCGAATAAACATAAAAACTACATTAGTTGCTGCCACACTGCGCGTTTCGTGCAGTTCACGGGGACTAACGTTCAAGGTCTCAAGCTCTCGGTTTTCCCCACCATTTCTTTGCTGGGTGTTGTTACCGCGGTGATCAGCAAAACCAAACAAACACACACACACACACAGCCAATAGACAAGCCAGTTGTAGAAGGAGAACAAGAATAAATGCGCCTGAAACGACAAACTCCTCTCCCTCCTCCTCCTCCCGCCCATCGACACGACTGTGATCCAAACACCGTCGTACGGCGCGTCCAACGTCCTTCGTGCCTTCTCATGTGAACGTCAATGCAAATGTGTGTATATGTGAAGATGAAGCGCATCTGCGAGTTGCGTCGTCTCAACTTCCTCAACACACTTCATACCCCCCCCAGAATAACACAGTAACACCGGCACCCCCAACGAACCCATTTCCCTGGAAAGAAGCAGAGGACGAATCCAGCGTCATTGCATCGTGGCCTACCCGCCGCAAGTGCACCGTGCGAAGGCGACAACGATGGTGCTCCACCCTATTCCGTGTAGCCGTACCACCACCACCACGTATCCTCTTCTCCTCTAAGAAAAACCAAAAACAGTAACAGCAACACGCCAAACACCACCTTATCCATCGTGGTCAACATCAAAACGGTAATAACACGCGAACATATAAAAACAGACATAAGCAGCAGGAAAGCTCCACTACTGCGTAAAGCGCAGCTGCACCTTCTCCTCCGTGTGGTCTTGCAGCGTCGCCGCCACGTCCGCATAGTTGCGCTTCACTCCATTCGGAATCGCCGCGAGCTGACTACGCCGGATCAGCTCTACCCGCTCCCAGAACACCTCCTCGTTGCCGCGCATCTCTTTTCGCTGCTCGCTCAGCACGTACGCCGCGTCCACACGCGAGCCGTCGCCCTCGTGCGTCGTCGCCGCCGCGTCGATGGCGGGGTCCAGCTCAAGTTGCACGAGCCCCGGCGTAAAGAGGGGATGGGCGGCACCGATGGGTATGTTCGCCGGGTCGCAGTCCCGCTCCGACAGGGCCGTCATCGTCGCCGGGGCCTCGCCCGCACCCATGACGGCTGCGTTCTTGTGCTCCGGCGTCTCTCGCGCGGACAAGAAACGCGCCGGCTGCGGCACGCCGTACCGAACAGCCTGCATCCAGGCCGTTGCGTGCAGGCTCTTCAGCCCGTCGCAGGGACGCGGGTGCAGCGTGTTGGCGTCCTGTTCGTACCAGTCGCGCAAGTTCGCCGCGGCGCGGAGCTGCGGGTTGTGCCGCAACGACTGCGCGTGCGCGGCCTCCTTCGCTGCGCGCAGTTTGTGAATAGCCTGCCAGGTGGCGGCCTGGATGCTGGCGGACAGCCTCACCAAGTCGATCCCCTTCCGCGCCGCTGACGCAGTGGTCGTAGAGTCCGGGGAAGAGGCGGCGCCCGGCCCTTCGCTGCTGCTGTCTGACAGACGGTACTGCGGCTCCCACACCGCTTTATCCAGCATGCGGATGCGTACGACGGTGCCGTAGGCGGAGCAGGTGACTTCGACGCCGCTGCACACGCCGGTGAAGGTTTGGCGCACGAGCTGGCGATGCGCCACCTCGAGAAAGAGGCGGTGCTTCAGCGTCGCCACGAGGTTGTTGGTGTAACGGAAGGACATGACGGTGTCTTCTTCTTGAAAAAAAAAATCAAACACACTAGCAGATCTCGAGGCGAAAACAAAACAGAACAAATCCACAGAGAAAAGAGGGATTACTCTTGGCTTGAGCTGACAACAGGCTGCACCTTTCCTCAAGCTGTGCGATACGGCTTTCGCATCAACAGTAATAATAACATAATACGGAGCGTAAGAGACAGAGTGAGCGAGGTGGATTTGAAAAGGCGGTTAGCCGGTATTGTTGGTGTTGATAGGGTTTGAAGAATATACATATATATATATATATATGGTGGAATATACCTTTGATTCCTCCTCCCACACGTACTCACTGGTGTTTAAGCAGCTCGCTACGTTGCTGCACCTGGCTAGAGCTTTGATGCAAAGGGGAAGTACTTGTCGCCTTGTATCTCTTTGCCTTCTATGATTCTCCCCCTCCCTCCTCCTCTTTCTCCCTCCTTCTCAAGCTGACATCGCCCACAACAACAAACATATTTGGAATAATAGTAGTTTGCCCATGCTTTAACGCAGTCAACTTGGAGCCTTCTGTTAGAGCGCGGCAGTAGTGTGTGTGAACCGACAAAAAAGAAAAAAGAAAGGCCAACCAACAGAGAAGCTCAACACTCCTCCTCCCCTCCTCCCCTCCCCTCCTCTCTCTCTCTCGCCGGCACCGACGTGCAGCACACCGATCGTCTCAAGACCTCGTTTCCACAGCACACAGACCCACACCAACAAGCAACACACACAAACCTCCGTTATAACTTCCGCCTTACAAGAAAAGAAAAACTTCTGCGCTTTTGCGTCCCGCTGTCAGAGAGACGTACGCACACAACCCGCCGCGACTGCAGCAGAACCGCACAGCGCAAAACACAACAGAAACGAGCGTTTCAACCCTCTTCCCCCCTCCCACCCACTCACAGCGCGGCTTCACTCCGTCCCTGCGCTGCCGTTCATCACTCGAGGGGCGGTCTTCGTCGCAGTGGCCGCGTCGCAGCTGTAGCGCACGCTCAGCGCCTCTGCCCGGGCACCGAGGTGCACGCCGTAGTAGGCCCAGCCCCGCGGGAGCCCGCGTTGACTGCCCACCGTGCGGACAAACAGATGGGACGGCAGGTGCGTGAGGGCCGGGTGTGGGCCGGTCATCTCCGCCGCGGACGCCGTCGCAGAAACAGCAGCGGCAGCATCAGCAGGCGGAGGAGAAGTAGAATTCGCATCCGTGTCGGCGTTGTTTGTGTCGTCTTCGGCTGCTGTCATCATCGCCAGCTCCTTCGCCGCGGCGGCCACCACCCCGCCCAGGGCCTGCTGCGTCTTGCGCAGTGCCTCGTGCACGTTACGCGTGCTCACGATGTCCTCGGCGACGCTGTCGGGCAGACGATGGCCACGCACGTAGAGGGGTAGCAACTGATGAATGTGTTCGGCTTGCGTCGCCGTCATGACCAGCGCCTCGGCTCCCGTCAGACCGAAGCTGCGCGAGCGTGGCGGACACAGGTACAACGAAGGTGTTAATGCCGACGACCCGTCGTGAGCGTTGACGGCAGCAGCAGCAGCAGCGGTGGTGGTGAGGTAGCTGCAATGCTGAATCAGTTGCTCTACGGAGAGCTTCGAATACTTGTCCAGCAGCGCAGAGGCGTTACTACTCGCGGAGGTGCTGCTGCTGCTGCTGATATCGGGCGTCGGCGACCACCCAGCTGACGGCACCCCACCCGAGCACCACAAACCGTGTGTCTGCAGCGTCCATGTGAGCAGCGTGGCGGCGTGCGGCGTCGGCTTGGAGCTGGAGGGGACGGAGGCGGCCTGACCGATCGCGTTGCGGTACACACGCACGAGCAGCTTTAGCAGGGCGGCGGTGCGCAGTCGCAGTGCTGGGCGATCCAGCTGCTGCAACGCTAACGGCTCCTCATCGAAGAGGAAGCTGCGAAACGATGGCGCCGTCGTCGCCTCGTCATCCTTCGCGCCAGCGCTTGTGACGCCGTCGGCGTGGAAGGCGTTCTCCAGCTCAACGTAGGCGTCCAGCACGTCCGTGAAGGGCGTCGCCAGGACCTGCGGCAGCCCCGTCGTGTTGTGGCCGTTCGTCAGGAGGTACAAAAATGTCACATCCGTGCGGACCGCGGCGAGGCGGCGCCGCATGCCGGTCACCGCCTCGCTCGACGCGCCGTCGTTGCTGATCTTGCTTTCATCTCCTTCCTCCTCTCCCCCCGCTGCGGTTGGTGTGGTTGCTCGAGGAGAGTCAGCCGTGGAGGGAGGCAGCAGGTGACTCAGTCGCAGCCACGCCATCGCATCCGTCAACGAGCAGCACGTCAGCTCGCCCTGCTTCAGCGACACGGCGGTGATGTTTTGAAACGGCGTCACCCCGAGCTGCATCCAGGCCAGCTCCGGTGCCCCGACGACGCAGATCGAATCGCTCGCTCGCACCGCCGGGCACAAGTTGGGCGGCGACGACGGCGGCTGCGTGACGCGGGTCGCGAGGTCCAACAGGTAGGCGGATATCTTCCCTTCTGCCAGGCCCGGCGTGGCTGGTCCGCTGATCAGCACCTCGTGCGGCGGCGGCGACGGGGTGCGCGGCTCCATGGCGGTGCGTCGGAGCGTTTCCTCCAGCAGGTACGGCATCGGCGAGGCGCAGCTGCGGTAGAGCTTGGAGTCGTAGTGCCGACCAGGGAAGAGGCGGGTGCGCTCTATCTGCCAGAGCGGCGGACTGCCGTCGAAGAGCAACGCGAGGCTCTTCCGCGGGGAGAGGCGGCGCAGCAGCACGTTTTGCAGCTGCCGCTGGACGATCTTCACCGTTTCGCGATCACGCTCGTGGCCGATGAAGTCGCGGGTGAGGTACGCCACGGAGTTGACGAGCGAGGGGACGTCGACCACCACGTGGTCGAAGGTCCAGCTGGCGCGTTGGTGGGGCGCGTGAAAGGCCTCCGATAAGGAGGAGGAGCTGTGGTAGTCTGACTGTGCGCCGCCGCCGGTGCTGGTGGTAGACGCACCGCCCACGTACAGCAAGAACCGACTGATGGAGTACATGGAGTTTGCTCAGAGCTGTACGTATATATTTTTGATACGCTAGTGGAAAAGAAATAGTAAGGAAAGGATAGCGTGGCGGATATCCATGAAGGGAAGAGGTACCGCAAACGGGGAGGAAAAAGAAGAAGAAGAGGTGTAATCTAAAACTACCCGTCGCTCGCGTAAACGCAGCTACACGCACAGCGACACTCCGTCAGCGGGCGTGAAGGAAAACCTCTCACAAACACACACACACACACACACACAGATAGACACGCACGCACAGACTGATGAAGGGGGAAAGTGAAGGTGAGGAGGAGAGTAAAAAAGAAGATAAAACAAGCGGTCTTCCATTGCAGCTTCCATAAGCCAGGTGGCAAGCGCTACGATGCGTAATACTGTATTTTCCCTTTCTTTCCCACACACAAGTGAAGCATCGACGCCGGAAACGACTCTATGGGAAGATACATATATATATATATATATGCATTCCATGACGCACCATCAACAGTTGAATCCCGCCTACGGTGTTAGCGCCCCGTGAAGAAGGCATGCGGTATGACTTCGCCACTCGATGAACTTTTCTTTTCCCTTTTGGTAGGTGATTTTTTTTTTGAGTTTTTTTCGTTATGTGTGAAGGCAACATTGAAGACGAGGAAATACGTTGGCAAGACGACGAGGAACCAACCGAGGAAAAAAAGTAGTGTGTTTATATATATAGATAAATTACACCTGGAACGGGTAACGCACAACGCACAGCGGGAGGAGGGGGATGAGGGGAGGGAGGGAGGAACTGGAAGAGGAGATGTGTTGGTCTTTCAAGGAAGAAGAAAAGGAAAAGATATAAAACGAGAAGGAGAACAGATGACGGAGAAGGGCAGGCGGTCGCACACACACACACACACAGCGTTAGCGTTTTTTCTTTATTGCTTTTATAAAAAATATAATATTGTCTATCGTATTTAGTTTTGTTGTCACCCGCACCAGACCTAGAGAGAGAGAGAAAAAAAAAGAAATCCAAAGAGGTGAAACAGACCCGTTCCTCCATGCCTATCCCTTCTGCGACGCGGCAGGTGGCGGTGGCGCCGCCGTGGTCGTCTTCTCCGGAGCAAGGTGCTCGCGCAGCGTACGCACCACCAAGCTATCTCCAGCCTCCCGCGGCGTCATCTTGTGATCCCACACGCGGTGCGACAGGTTCAGCATCTCCACACTGGCCATCTTCTTCGCCCGCGCCAGCAGCTCCATCTCAAAGTAGTTATAGAAGTGCTTCGAGGACTGCGCGCGCCGCAGGTGGTCGATCTGCCCGCTCTGCGCACGGGTGTTCCACATCTTCATCATCGCCTCCCACAGCTCGACGATGTTGGTGTTCTCCTCGGCGGAGACGGCGATGACGGGCTTCTCAAAGCCTTGCTCCATCTCGGTGTACATCACCGCACGCGCGTAGGCGCCCTTCGTCTGCTGCGCCAGCAGCTTCCGCGCCCCGTCGTTCTTCGTCACGACGACCATGTCCGCAACCTCCACGATGCCCTTCTTGATACCCTGCAGCTCATCGCCGCTCGCCGGTGGGACCAGCAGCATCATCATGTCCGTGAGGTCTTTGCATTGCGTCTCGCTCTGGCCGACGCCGACCGTCTCCACGAAGACGACGTCGAAGCTGGCGGCTTCGAAGATCTCCATCACCTCCCACGCACGCGCCGTGACGCCGCCGAGGTGGCCGCCGGAGGGGGAGGGGCGGATGTACGAGTTCGCGTGCGTGCTGAGCTTCTCCATGCGCGTTTTATCGCCGAGGATGCTGCCGTGCGTGATGGTGGAGGACGGGTCGACGGCCAGCACGCCAACCCGCAGCCCCTTCTTTTCGCAGAGGTAGTAGCCTAGCGTCTCCAGCAGACTCGACTTGCCAGCGCCGGGGCTGCCGGACATGGCGAAGCGCGGCACCATGCGCACCTTCGCCGATTGATGGATATCACGAAGGAGGTGACTGAGCCGGGTAGAGTCGGAGGAGTTCGTACTCTCGGCTAAGGTGACCGCCTTGGCCAGGGCGCGGCGGTTGCCCTTCACGATGTCCTCCACCAGAATCCTCTGGTGAATGCGTGGGCGAGCGATGTAGTTCATGTTTGTTTGTTTGTTTGTTGGTTGTCGTTGCCTTGACGTTCAGTTGAATAGTTTGTTTTCCTCTTCCTTGTATGTGTATACGTACAACTGCCAGAAGTGGTGAAGGTAGCGTCGGTGTTAATGAGGCAAATAGGCGACAGAAGAGAGAAAGGCAGCCTTGCACTGCACTTGTGTACTCGAACCCTTTTTTGCGGTGGTGCGCGCGAAGGACGTGGGGGGGGGGGTTGAAGCAGAAAGACCGTCACTCCCGCCGTAACAGGTGATATGGATAAGAAAGTGAGCAAAGCGCTGGGCGAAGTAATACTACTACTACTGCTAATCGTTAAAAAATAAAAAAATAGACGCAAAACAATCCGTAACCGAAACAGCCTTAATGATGGCGTGTGACCTTCTTCGAAAACGCTCGCCAGTGTTTAATTTTGACTTGCAAGAACTTCCAAAAAGAAGAAGAATAATGCGGACAGACAGCAACTCCCACCAAAGAAAAAGAACAAGAAGAGGAAATCAACGACGAGGAAGCGAAGGTGTACAGTACGTTAATAGATTGTGAACTTTACGTGTGTGTGTGTTACCTGTGTTTTGATTTGCGAGCTGAGTTGAAGCCTCCATTGAAGGCCAACACGTCGCGGAGACTAACCAATACCAATACTTGAAAAAAGCGAGATGGATGACTTTCCTTCCCCGTAAACATCAACAACAGAAACAGAAAAGTGTCTACAGGTTTTTCTTCTTACACATATATATATCGAGAGTTCTGCGGTTTTTTAATAAATCAAGGAACCTTGGGTGATGGAGCAGCAGATGAATACATAGTTCGACATGCGTCACCGCCGCGAGTGAGCGATTTGCATAAACCCGGTCGAGCGCAGCGTTGTGTGTGTGTGTGTGTGAGAGGGCGCGAAGTGGAACACAAGGAAAGGAAAAGGGAAGGTCAGGGGTGGGCGGACAAGAAAAGTCGCTGAGGAGATGACCACCACCACAACGCGGTGATGTTCTCACGTCCTCCGACGCCATCGACAACGGTCAAGGGGACAGGTATCGCCAACGCTATGTTGGCGTGCCGTTGAGGTGCCCGAGTTCGAGTGGAGGCAGCAGAAAACGGTGTGCTGCCCGGCATGGCGGCTTTAACTGGAGCCTGGCTCCGGTTTGTCTCCGTGGGTCGCGGAGGGGAAAAGAAAATGAAAGGCGAAACGCTCAAACACACATACGCATACGCATCTTCATGGCCTGCTACAATTCTTCCACATTTCTTCCAGCTTTTTCTTTCTGGCCTTTTCCCTTTCTTATCTACAGCAGAGGATGCTGATTACTTATTACCCGCACAACCACAAACACGCACGCACACGCGTACACGACAACAACTATTATTTAAACTAAAATTAAAAGGTAGCACTCGAATATAAAGTGCGCAGAGCCGTAAAGACGGCACATAACGTCACGTCTCCTCCAAAGAAAGAGGAGAGAGGGGAGAAAGGTGCCTCCTTCAATCGCGACAGCGGCGGGGGCCTGCATGAACTCCCCTCCTCCTTTGCGCAAGCAGTGGGCGCGAAGAGAGACTGAGAGGGGGAGGAGACACCTGGCAGACGCCGGTGGATCTCCCCCTCTCCCCTCCCCCCACCACACAGACGTGCGCTTTCTTCTTCATATTTTACACGCGATTCGATCGTTAACGGCGCACGATGAAGCATCAACGGCGACAAGGAATCACCCCCCCACCCACACCCACAGGTTAAGCGTGCGTTTGCTCTAGTAGGATTGGTAGTAGTAGGTGCCCGTTGTCTCGATTGCCGCCACCTGCCCCTCCGTCTGCGCCGTCACCTCCACCACCGTCACCTTACCTCCCTTCTCATTCGGCGTGCGGACGCGCAGCGTGCCGGTGATCTTCTCGCCCGCGTTCACGGGCAGCGGCTCCCGCAGACCGACGCTGACCTCTGTCCAATTGTTCTCCCCGCCAGGCCGCACCGCCAGGACGAAGTTCGCGCCGGGGTTCGTCTTGCTCGTGAAGGCGGCATCGAGGTAGAAGGTGAGGTAATGCACCGTCGAGCTGCGGGTGATGTTCAGCGAGAAGGCAGCTTCGTAGCCGGTTTGCGCCACGCCGGCGGGCACCCAGGAGCGCTCGATCGGGTTCTCGTCCGCAGCCCCCTCCTTTTGCTGCTGCTGCTGCTCCGCCGCCCGCGTCGCACCGCTTTCGTACGCGGCCGTCTCCTCCGCCGTCAGGCCTGGCAGGCTGTCCATGTGCACCGTGTGCGCCAGACACGGCGCGGACACGATGTTCGCCCCGGGGATGGTGCACATCTCCACCTCCTGCCGCACCAGCTCCTTCATCGGCGCCATCGTGAAGCCGTACACGTTGCTCCAGAAGTCCTCCGTGTCGAGGCGAAACGCGTAGTCGGACACCGCGACGACGTGCAGGGAGGCGCGGTTCGGGCACAGAGCCCCGTTCGGCGCCAGCAGGTGGTCCCGCGCGTAAAGCGCGTCCGTCAGCACGCGCTCATTCAGCAGCAGCGGCCCCATCCATTCACACATGACGTAGTCAAACTTCATGCCCGCCGGCAGCTGGTGTAGCACCTCGCAGAGACGGCCCCGAATAAACTGCACATTCTTCAGCCCGTTCTGCGCCGCCACCTCCCTCGCCGCGTCGACGATGGCGGAGCTGTCGACGCCGATCACCATCTTCGCCATCCCACGTGCAGCTAACATCGTGTACAGCCCCATGCCACAGCCCAGGTGCAGCACCGTCTTGCCCTTCACGTTGCGGAAGATGATTTCGTAAGCGCGCAGGCGTTGGTGGTCGTGGATGGCGTAGATGTTGCTCGAGATGCGCGCGGCGGAGTCCCCGTAGAGGGACTTGGACGTCGCATGCCGCTCCGCATCCGTGGCCAGCAGCGACTCCGTCAACACAACCTTACTCGCGTTGACAGAGCGCTTCACCGTGGCGTGCGTGATCTTCTTGGCCGGCATGACGCGTAGGAGGGAGCGGAGTGTGATGATGGATGATGACTGAGAAATAAAAAGAGAAAAATGAAGGAGTGACGAGAGAGAGGGCGGTGCTGTCAGTGCCGAAGGCTGGTGCTGTAAACTGCGCGGGGTGCGCATATATATATATAAAGATACGTGTTTCATTTACATGTTTCAACGAGCGTTGATGGAGAGTAGGGTAGAGAGAGAGAGAGAGAATACAGTAAAATGAAGTGACGGAGCGGAAATAATAATAAGAAGAAATACGCGGAGAACGGCGGAGAGACGTCGTTCCCTCTTCTCTCCCTCCCTCCTCCGGAAACCTCATTCGCTTCCCTCCCCAGAGCACGTCTGCGCGCGCGCACAGGACGCTTCACGTCGTACAACGGAATGAGAAATGACACGCGGTAGAAAGCACGTTGAAAGTCTGTATATCTCCTTTCGCATGTAAAAACCGCATATACACACACGTGTGTGTGTGTGCTTGGTCAGAGGTGCTTTACCGTTTCTTGAGCGGTGCGGCGCTCCTCAAAAAACGTACGCACCCCTGCGAAGCACTCCCCAAAGGAGCGACACACCCGCAACGAGGGCTGCAGCCACGCCGAGACGCGGCGGCGCACATCCTCCCGCTCCCCGTAGCGCGCGTCGATCAGAATGATCGCGGCGTAGTCGCCCGAGTGACGAATGCACCGGCCGATGCACTGGTTCACCGTACGCATCATGCCGTCCATGTACAGACCCCACTCCGCCGCCGACGTGAAGGGAGATGCCGTCGTTGCACCTGCTGTGGAGTTGCTCTGCACAGTCTGCGACGTCTGCGTCGTCGTCGCATCGGCACAGCGCAACCGTGTCGCGGCGATGTGCCGTAGATTCAGCTGGAGCTCCACATCGGTCGGGTTCGCGTAGGGCATGCCAATCACCACCACGGCACGGCCGAGGTCGTCGGCGAAGTTGATGCCCTCCGACAAGCGGCCGCCCATCACCGCAAGCAGCAGCGCACCACGACGAGCCGTTTTCTTAGTGGTCAGCGAGGGGGCTGGAGAGGGGGTTGGGAAGGCATCGACATCGTCGCCGTAGATCCAGTTTTGGTACTGCTGAAGCATCTTCGCAACGCCGGCCGCATCTCCTCCTCCCCCTCCCCCTCTACCACCACCACCTCCACTGTTGGGCGCGCTGCCTTTACCGCCGCGGGTCTCGCGAAAGATGCGCTTCACCGCGTTGATCTCGTCGTAGTACCCCGTCCGCCGCAGCGCGTCCACCGTGCGGTCCATCATATCGTACGAGGTGAAGAAACAGATCGTCCCTGCCGCAGGCAGGACGCGTGAGAGGTTGAGGAGAGAACACCCGACTTCCGCGAACAGGCGATCCGCCGCATCAGCGCCGACGACCCCACCACCGCCGCCACCACCACCACTCCTCATGCTGCTACTACCACTATTGCTTACGGTGGTGGTCGCGCTCAGTGCGGACGCTTTGCTGCTGCGGTGGCCGAGGAGTTGCTGCGTGAACTCCAGCCGAACGGCGCTGGGCCCGGTGCCGAGCGTGAAGACGCGCACCGACGTCGGCGGCACGACGTGACCTTCAGAGATGAGCCGCACCGGGAACTCACCATCCGCCTCACAACACCCAACGGCTGAAACGGCAGCGGCAGCAGACGCAATCGGCGGCGGCGCACGCACGGATGTGCTGCCTGCACGACGACCAGCACCCTCGTCGCACTCACCGTGCTCTGCCATCCTAACTATCGATGCCGCATTATCACTGAGGATGTGGCCATGACCCAGTGGAAGCAAGGGCCCGCAGGTCAACGCGAGCGGTTGCATCGTACCTCCTGCCAGCACCACCGCCGTCGCCTCGCGTGCGAGGGGGACAAAGGTGTGCGTGCCAGGCTCCAGCTGAATCAACTTCAGTCCCCCCTCGTGCGCCACCGCTCCCACACTCTCACCACCACCACCCGGTGCGGAGGAGGTGATGGCAGGCGGAGTCCACAGAACGCGCGTGGAGACGGTGTCGGAGACATACAGCATGCACAGCAGACGCTCAATGCGTTGCAAGGCCTCTGCGACCACCGCACGCTGTCGAGCAGCGTCGAGCGAGGCGGCGAAACCACCGCCGTTGCCGTCGGGGAGATCGCGAGCGTGAAGAAGAGTTGTAAGGGTCAACGATGAAGAGGACGAAGAAGCGGAAGAGGACGTTTCGCACGGCGGTCTGTTCGCGAGGGGACACGACGACTTTAATGGATCTGGCCCGCTTTGTGCCGTGGTGTCTGCGTCGAGCGACGCAAGGAAGCGCCGTTGTCGCTGCCGCTCGTCGACGGGCACTTCGCTTGCACGTTCTGCCGTGCTGCCACGACTCCGCTTCACCCTCGTCAGCGTACCTCGTGCGGTTGCTGCGCCGGTTTCTGCCGCCGCTGTCTTAGCGTCCGACTTTTCTCTTTCCAGGCAGTACCCCACGAAGCCTTGCAGCTTTACGAGCAGCTGGGAGTCCACGAGGAAGAGGAGAAGGGAGTAAACATCCACGTTGTCGATGCCAGATTCGAAGAGGAAGGTGTGAAAGGGATACACAAGCGACCCCGACGCGCCTGCCGTGACACCTTGATGTGTGACAGCAGAAGTGGTTGTCGCTGCACCTGTGCAGAATCGTGTAAGCTTCCCCAGAAAACGAATCAGCTCGCGTAGCCGTTGCTTGTTGCGTGTCAGCAACCGCGTCTCATAGCGGCGAAGGTACGCGCTGCATAGCCCTTCTGCGAGCTGCAGGTGCCACGGGGAGAGAGGAACGGTGCTGGTCGTGCGGCAGTGATCGGCGATGTTGTGCGCCTCGTCGAAGACGAGAACGTCGCCGCGAAAGGAGGGCGGTGCGCTGCGGGCCATAACGTGCCACACATCTCCGTCATCGTTCGCATCATCTTTTGCTCGCCGAGTTGCTCCTGTCGTGCTGACAGGTGGGCAACAGCCCTTTCGCATGATGTGTGTCTCCTCTTCCGCTTGTTGTTGTTGTTGTTGGTGCTTGCGTCGCTGGCGGAAAGCTGCGGTGGCGGTCACGCGCTGCCGTCGGTGGTAGAGCACAGCGCCAAGCGACACGGCAGGCGCCGTTGGCGACGCTGATGCTGCTGTAGTTGTGGCGCCCTCTGCCGTCCGAGGAGAAGCACCGCCGTACGCTTCGTATCCAGCCCCGTCCAGCACCCTCTCCGCCTCGACACGACCCACCACGTGAGGCGCGGACACGTCGTTCTCTACGTCGTCTGGGCTGTGCAGCCCGACGGCCTCCGCCTCCGCCGCGGTCGCCGGGTTCGTCGTGACCCCGCCCAGCAACGCCGTCCGCTGACCTTCATCGAGTAAATAACTGTAGGGGATGAAGGCCACATCCGCACCGCGTAGGAGCAGCCGCGTCGCCAGGTACGGACACGCCTGCAGCTCCCGCCCGAGGTGCCGCAGACGCGCCATCGTGTAGATGGAGGCGGAGGGCGTCCACGGCGGCGATGCGCCGCTCTGAGTCGGATGATCATGGTGGCGGCTGTTGTCGCTCGCAGCACTGTCCGAAGTAGTGGGAAGAGGCGTGGCTGCGGCGTCGCGATCGGCGCGCTGCTGTGCGTGCTGTTCCGCAGTGATGTACTCCATCAAGGCCCGTAGATGCGACTCTGCGCAGAACACGCAGCCCTTATCTTCGTCATCGGTCGCTTCGCCCTCTTCGTCCTCCGCATCTCCGCCACGGCCGTTGGCTGCCTTCACGCTTTGGTGCGTCTTCTTCATGGAATAAGGAGCACCGCGAGGCGAGGCGTAGTCCTCGATGTCGTACACTGCGCCGAGTGCGCTGCGCTTCGTCTTCTCCGTAGAGGCCCCGTTGCCGTTGCTGTCGACGGAGGACAAGCCTTGATGCTGCTGCTGCCGTCGCCGCCGCCGATCCGCGCGACCTTGCTGCGAGCGTTCGTACTGCATCGCCTCTCGGCAGTAGTGGTTCAGCATTTCCCCGCCGCTGTTCAGGCCGCCGGCTTTGCGCTGAAGACGGGCGTTCAGGCAGAGGTGCTGCCGGCCGGCGACGTGTACGGCGAAGAGGCGATGGAGCGAGGAGGTGCCAGGATGATGGCTGCTGCTCCTCCCCTCGGCGGAGGCAGTGGGCGGAAGAGGAGGAGGAGAAGATACCGTCGTTGACGGGTCATCGCGGCTTGCTTCTGCGTTCTCCGAGGGCTGGTGTGTTTGTGAGGTAGAGAGTGACAGCGCGTCTGACGGTGGTGGTGGTGGTGGTGGCAATAATGATCGTGCTGCTGCTGGTGTTGTTGAGGAGGATGACTGTGACGTTGGGCTGCGCACACGTAGGGGGTGCTGCGCAAAAGCGGTGCGCTGAAGATCCTCCATGAGCTGCTGCAGCTGCGTATGCGTGCGACTCGCGACGTACACCTTCGGCTTGCGTAGCGGAATCATCGTGGCCAGGTTTTCTTCCAGCGCCCCTTCTGCGTCTCCGGCGTCGCTACTCGCCTCATCGAGATCAGATGACACCGAAGACGACGCGGAGGAAGACGAAGATGAAAGGGAGCGGGATGACACGCCGGCGGAGGCGTGCTGCTGCTGCTGCTCGGCGTACCAAGCTACCGGGTCCTGCGCGAGAAGATACTCCTCACCACCCGCCTCACCCTTGTGACTACCTGCTTGTTGCTGCTGTTGCTGCTGGGATTGAAAACGCATAAACTTGCGAGCTCTCCGCAGAAGACGGCGCTGCGCCTTGACCCGTGCCTTGCGCTCGCGCCGGAGCTGATTGATCTCCTCTTCGAGTTGGCGCTGCCGGAGCACCTCCTCCAGCGTCCTCGGCGCAGAGAAAGACGCGGTGGCGACGCTGCCATTTTTGTCCATCGACGCACCGCTGGATTCAGCATCCGTCTTGCTGGTGCAAGATGCCGCGTTGCCATCCGCGGAGGCGCCGGCTGTTGACGGTGCAGCAGCCACGTCCTTGTCCTTCGCACCCGTCTTGCTCTCCATTGGGCAGACAGGCTCAAACAGGCAGGAAAGAACTGTGTTCAACAGCATCTGAGACTTACCGGTGCCGGTGGGCGACTCCAGCACCGCCATCGCCGTCGCTGCAGGGTGATGGCTTGTGCCCCGCGCCGGTTTGTTGGCGGTGCTGGCGGCGGTTGTCGCCTCCTCGAGGAACTCGCGCAGAGCCGTCATGGCGTGCTCTTGAAGCGGGTAGGGCGCATAAGGGAAGGGGATTTCATAGGGACCGACGCGTCGCATTGACTGCTGTATGCACTCAAATATATATATATATAGAATGAGGGGAGTGTTTAAACAACAACAGCAAAGAAGCGGCTGCTGTGCTGAAGGGCACGTCGACGCTACCGATTGAGTGGCGCGATGCCAAGCTCTCTCTTCGTCTTCAGTTTTGTTTTCCCGTTTCTATTTTTTATTTCTATCAATAGGAGTGATCACGGGTGTTAGCTTCCGTGTGTGTGTGTGCGTCCGGCCTTTTCTTTGTCTCTTACTGTACTCTTTGTTGTACTTAGTAAACAACAGCAACAAATATCGGTGTTATCCCGGTGAGGTGCGAGTGCTGTGATGGTCAGCTATCCATGCCCACCGTGTGTGCAGAACACGGGAGGACAGGTAATAATAAGAATAATAATCTTTACTTGTGAAGAAGGAATGACCATTGATGAGAGACACGAGAGTGAAGTGAAACCGTTGATTCCCAGGCGCATCAGCGTGCACCGCTTCTTCCGCTCCTTGTAGTGTTGACATCTACTGCATGCCCAGAAACAGGCGGGAGACAACAACGGAGGGAAAGAACGCTGCTACGCAACAGCCATGAGAGAAGAGGAGTCCACAGTATCCCCGCTGAAATAAATAATGCGCGTTGCGGAAGGACAGCTGGTCATCGTGCACCGCTCCGTCCGACACACGTGGGGGAAAAACGAAGCAGCGGCGGCGCTGTGCGTGATTCGGCATTCGGGTGAGAGGGTATTGGCACTGACAATGTGCGAGTGCTGCTTCGTAGTCACTACTGGTTTTGATAGATTCTTACTTTCAGTTAACCGTTAGAGTTAAACTCCTTCACACGCGACGTGCGTCCCCGCGCAGGAGGCATCGCTCTCTGCTTCTCCACCCTGCGCCACGCAGGCCGCAGTTGCGCGAGGGGGGTGGGGTGGGAATGACAGCGAAGGAGCATCCGATTTATGCTTCATTAAATGATAACAGCCAACAAACAAACAGACAACAGAAAGCACCGTTCTCTGATCAGGTTGAAGTAGGTCCAAACGGTTCTCTCACGCCTCCATCTCCTCCTCTTCCGTACACACGAACCATAAAAAATCCGTTTCATCGACAAACACCGCAGAACGTCCTACCGGTGCGCAGCACATCAACACACACACACGCACACACGCACAGTCTCCTCCAGCCACTTGCGCTCCCCGTATCTGGCCGCTTGAAGAAAGAGATTGAATAATATTTTCTTTCCTTAAGACTTATTGCTTCTTCGACCGCTTGCCGCCCTTCTTCTCCGTCACGGTCGGGTCATTGTTCTCGATCGCATCCGCCAGCGCCTCGCGAGCGCGCTTCATGCGGTCGTGAGTCTTCTCCGTGACCTCCTCCGCGTTCATCATCGCTCGTGCGGACTTGGAGGCGTTCTTGGAGGTGGCACCGTACGTCCCCCGCTCGCGCTCCAGCTGACGGCCCATCTTGCTGCGGAAGTCAATCCCGTCCACCTCTGCATCCGAGACGCCGCGGGGACGAGTGACGGACGAGCTCGTCTGCGCAAACCCATCCTCGGTGGCGGAGGCGGCGGCGTCCGCAGCGGCAGACGCCGGCATCGCCAGCAAGACGTCGGTGACCTCGCAGATTGGGCTGTTGTTGTCATCTAGAAGCCAGTAGCCGCCCTGGAAGGAGGCGGGCGCGGTGTCGATGGACCACGTCTTCGCGAATTGCGCGGCGCCGTGCTTCCCGGGGAAGCAGAGGCAGTTGTTGCGCAGCTGCGCATCGGCGAGCGTGTGCGGCGCGTCGCTGTTGACGAACTTGAGCAGTTTCATTTCGCTAGTCCGCTTTTCCCTTTCCGGCGTTCGCGGAGAGAAAAAAAAATCTATCTCTTCCTTTTGTTCTAAATGCTAATAAAGCATAAAACGGCCACAAACCCCAACACGCAGAATAATACTACTGCTGTCTTTTTTAAAAAACGATGAAGAAGGGGTGGTGGTGGTGGTGGCGGCTGCTTCCGCGGTGAAGGGTGCTTAAAAGAGACACATGAAGGAAGGAGCAAAGAGTGAGAGGAATCACGTAAGGGAGGGGGAGGAGCAGGAAGCGCTGCGGAATACCGTCTGCAACGGGTATCGTGGCGCACCGACAGTGTGAGGTCGGGTTCAAAAAACAACGGATACGATGGTTTTAACGAGCGCGGCTGATCCACGCGAGCGCCACATAAAAGACATCTTCCGTCAGTTTTAAGAACCCGCGCTACTTCGCAAGAGTATTCACTGGCGCACAAGTGTGCGTCTCAATGCCGTTAAACGCCTGAATTAGAAGCTGCTTCGCACACTCTTCGCTCTGACACAGTTTCTTAAGAAAAAATTTGTTGTGGCATCGCCTCGATAGAAAAACTAAAGCAATTCATTCACGCTGCCGGCACGCACGCCGTTTCGTCCGGATTAATCAATACAGTTCAAAAGCAGCTTGCCCGTTGTCTTGCGCGACTCGAGGTCGATGTGCGCCTGGGCCGCGTCACGCAGCGGGTACACGTGCCCGATCGTCAGCGTCAGCTGCTTCGACGCGATCCAGCCAAACACCTCCGCCGCCCGCCGGTCCGCCTCCTCCGCCGTCAGCATGAAGTCCGCCAGCGTGGGCCGCTGCAGGTACACGCTGCCCGCGCGCGACAGCTCCAGCGGCGCGACCGGCGGCACGGCGCCGCTGGCGTTGCCGAAGGAGATCATGTAGCCCCGCTTGCGCAGCAGCGACAGGCTGCCGGCGAAGGTGGACCGGCCCACGCCGTCGTAGACCGCGTCCACGCCGTGCGCAGGCGCCACCGCACGCACCGCGGCCGCCCAGTCCGGCGTCGCCGCATGGTCGATCACAACGTCCGCCCGGCCAACGCTGCGCGCCAGCGCCGCCTTCTCCGCGCCGCCGCACACCCCGATCACGCGTGCGCCACGCAGCTTCGCCATCTGACACACGAGCAGCCCGGTCCCGCCGGCCGCCGCGTGCACGACGACGGTGCTGCCCGGCGCGCAGGGGTAGCTGGCGTCGATGAGGTAGTGCGCCGTCAGGCCCTGGCACATCACCGCCGCGGCGGCCTCGTCCGACACGCCAGGCGGGATCTCACGCACGGCGGAGCCGCGGACAGTGGAGAAGGACGCGTAGCTGCCGGAGGAGCCGAGGCCACCGTAGTAAGCCACGCGTTTGCCCAGCAGCGCAGTGGACACTCCTGCTCCGACCTTCAACACCGCGCCGGCGCCTTCTTCCCCGACGACGTACGGCATCGTCGGCTTCATGTAGAGGCCGCTGCGGTAGTAGGTGTCGATGAAGTTCACGCCCGCGTAGGCGTTGCGCACGAGCACGTCTGACGGCCCCACCACGAGATCTGTCGCCGGATCGAAGTCGTCGACGGAGAGCGCTGCGGGGCCGCCGTGGGCGTGCACGCGGACCCGGCGGAACAGCGGCTTCAGTCGGGCAGCCGTGGCGTGCATGGACGAGGTAGCTATCGTTTCTATATTAGTACTATTTGTTTTCAATGGAGGTAAATATCGAAGTCTTGCAAGGCAGACGTCTGTCCAGGTGCGTTGTTGTTGCGTTGCACGCGTGAGTTGATGGGGAGGGGAGAAACCACCACCCCTACCACCACCGCAACAGCAGCAGCCGCGCGAGTCGTCGCAGAGCGCGGGAGAGGGAGAAACAAAGAATAAAAAGACGACGCGGATGGCGCTTCCCGTTTCAGCGCTGCTGCTCCGTAGAAGCAATGCACCCGAAGCTATCACCGGCAGGATAACAGGTCGCGAGTCGTCTCGCCCGCAAACCGCACTGGATTCGAACCTCACGACAGGAAACGTTCGAGCCGCAAAAAGCCCTTAGCGGATAACAAAGGGAAACATAAAACAAAAGGCAAGACATTGGGTCGATGGGCTTCCCATCACATCTGTTGTGTGGTGCCCGCCGCTGCGTGGCGAGATCAACGCATGGCGTCGTGTTCATCACGGCTGTTTACCATTCTTCACCCATTACTTCTTGCTTCACCCGCCAAAAAGGAAGTACGATGATGGGGAGTGCGAAGACGTGGGGGAATGCGAAAGAACACTACACAGACACACACACAGACACACGTAGCAAAGAAGGAAGCTCTCTCCGCATTCGTTTTGAAAGAAGAAGAAGAAGAGAAAATAGCTTGTACGATATCAACAACCTTACTGGCGGTTTGTAGTAGAGGAGGAAATCGACGCGTTGACGGGGCCGCGAGGACAATAAATAATAAATAGAAACAACACAAACAGAATTGCGAAGAGCCGAAATCCGCTGCATTTAGGGAAGAGCAACGACCGGTGTACCTTCATCCACTACACACCCATACACACATGCACACACACACCAGGCGTGCTTCAACGCAGAAGGAAAGAAAACGAAGGCGGTCATGCACAGCATGGATGATTAGGCAACGACGACGCGAATACTGTAGGAGAGAAAGAGAGAATATGGAGGGGAGAGCGGGGACGGCGTGCTCCACAAGGGGCTCAAACCTACGCATCGTCCGTGCACTTGATCAGCAGCTTGCCCGTTGTCTTGCGCGACTCGAGGTCGATGTGCGCCTGGGCCGCGTCACGCAGCGGGTACACGTGCCCGATCGTCAGCGTCAGCTGCTTCGACGCGATCCAGCCAAACACCTCCGCCGCCCGCCGGTCCGCCTCCTCCGCCGTCAGCATGAAGTCCGCCAGCGTGGGCCGCTGCAGGTACACGCTGCCCGCGCGCGACAGCTCCAGCGGCGCGACCGGCGGCACGGCGCCGCTGGCGTTGCCGAAGGAGATCATGTAGCCCCGCTTGCGCAGCAGCGACAGGCTGCCGGCGAAGGTGGACCGGCCCACGCCGTCGTAGACCGCGTCCACGCCGTGCGCAGGCGCCACCGCACGCACCGCGGCCGCCCAGTCCGGCGTCGCCGCATGGTCGATCACAACGTCCGCCCGGCCAACGCTGCGCGCCAGCGCCGCCTTCTCCGCGCCGCCGCACACCCCGATCACGCGTGCGCCACGCAGCTTCGCCATCTGACACACGAGCAGCCCGGTCCCGCCGGCCGCCGCGTGCACGACGACGGTGCTGCCCGGCGCGCAGGGGTAGCTGGCGTCGATGAGGTAGTGCGCCGTCAGGCCCTGGCACATCACCGCCGCGGCGGCCTCGTCCGACACGCCAGGCGGGATCTCACGCACGGCGGAGCCGCGGACAGTGGAGAAGGACGCGTAGCTGCCGGAGGAGCCGAGGCCACCGTAGTAAGCCACGCGTTTGCCCAGCAGCGCAGTGGACACTCCTGCTCCGACCTTCAACACCGCGCCGGCGCCTTCTTCCCCGACGACGTACGGCATCGTCGGCTTCGTGTAGAGGCCGCTGCGGTAGTAGGTGTCGATGAAGTTCACGCCCGCGTAGGCGTTGCGCACGAGCACTTCGTCGTCTTTCAATTCGACCTGATCAGGCGTGTAGGAGGCGGGCTGACAGGCGAGCACCTCCGGTCCACCGTGTGCAGTCGCGACGACCTCCATTTTCTTTCTTTCTTTAAAAAAGGGAATGAAAAGTGGAGCGGTATGAGTGCGCGAGGTGCGCGTGATACACTGGAATAATAATAATATCGATAGGAGTTTGGATGCACACACACATGTGTGTGCGGGTGCGGAGTTGCAAGTAGAAGAGCGGCAGCTGCTCTGCGTGGAAGAAGGAAAGACCAGAATAAAAGAAAAGGTGTGTCCAGCGGACAGCGGCAGGCCTCAGAAGGACATCTGTGAATCGTGGCTTTCTCGTCCCCTTTCATATGATGTCTTCTCTACTGCTCTTGCGTAGTGTCGAAGGGGGACGGAGGTCAGCGTGTCGGAGACCGGTGTGCCGCCGCTCGCTTCCCGCACGAATCGGCCATCTTCGAAAGTTGAACATGTGTTTCCTCCAAGTATTTCCTTCACCGTTTTTCCAATTCTTTTGGCATCACCGTGATCTGTTGGACAGCTTTAAGAAAACGAGAAGAAGAAGAGGAACATAAGAAAACGACTTCCATACAGCATAAGCACCAATCGAAAGGAGGAGGAGGAGCAATAGCAAGCGCACAAGCAAAAACAAAAAGCAACAGAAATGGAGAAGCGTTGTCTGTTATTTGCCGTGTGGGGACGGTCTCCCTTTCCTCGCCCTTCCTGCGTAGTACTTCCTCTCGCGCGTGAGGCCACAGCGGGGGGTGTAAGAGAAACCGAAGGAAAGAAAGACAAGATCAACGGCTTCGATGCTGCTTGTGTCTGTGTGGGTGTGTGGGTGTGCAAGACACCAAACGAAATCCATCAATTTGAATGAAAACTGCGACAACGAGAGAAAACAAAATATATATGAAAAGAACAGCGATAGCCACGACGCTTCTGACGCGCTTCATAACGACGAGAGGGAGAGGGAGAGGGAGGGGAGGGGAGAGAAAGGGAGGAGGAGAGAAAGGGAGGAGGGATACTTCTCTGTGGGAGCTTAACTCCCCAACAACAACAACAACAACAACAGAAGAAAAAAAGAGACAGAAAAAAAACAAAGTAAACAACGACACAGACAAAACAGATGAAGCAGGAGCGAGCGAGACGTACAGCAACAACCGCTGCCTCTATGTATCTATGATGATTGCGGAGAAGCGAAAGCACAAGAACTACAAAAGAAGAAGAAAGCAAACACAGCATGAAGAAACAACAGCAAACCCTCCCCCCAAAAAGAGTCTGAGGACGTGGAGAACAACAGTAAATAAATATATATATATATGCGTTATGAAATGAACAGATCCGTATCGATCTTGTCATTGTTTTCTCCCCCCCCTCCTCCTCCTCTCCTCCCCTCCTCGGTGTCTCGCACGATGACAGACGTAAACAACAGAGAGACAGGAAATGAGAAATCCAAGACTTTCATGAACGGGTGAGTATGTGTGTCTGTGCGTCTACACCCCTCGCAAAACACACTGGTTCAGCAAAGGCAGAAGAAAAAAAAAAGATGGCCCGCGCTGCGCACAAGACGGACAGACCTTCAGACCCTGAGAGGCACAGCGCCGAAGGCGGGGGTGACGCCACTGAGGGCGAATCTCACCGCCTTTTCCCGCACTTCCCGAAACACACCTCAACAGCAGCTGCAACAGTAAATAAAAGAGAATAAATAAAGAAGCAATCAGCGAGAGAGAGAACGAGAGAGTTGCATTGATGCCGGTTTCCTCAGTCTCACGCGCTCTCGCTACCCGTGCACTTTGGCGTCGGTTGACAACGGCGGGGCGTCCTCGCTGGTCGTCTTGGTGGGCATCCAGCCATCCAGCCACACCCCCGCGGTCACCGCCGTTGGCAGCACGACGCGCACCATCATCCACAGACACGCGTAGCGGACATACAGTTCCATCAGCGCCAGCTGCGGTGCCGTGCGGCGGAGGTGGGTGTATAACGCGTGCAGGGTCGCCGTGACACACGCCAAATCACTCGCCTCACGCGACGCACGGAGACGTGCGGGGACGCTCACGCGCTGACTCACAGGAGGCGTAGCAGCAGCAGCGGCGGCGGCGGCAGCCGAAGCAGTGTTTGGTTTCGTCAAGCCGTACTGAGACCGCAGCGCACGGATCACAAGGCCGTTTGGTACCATCAGCCACAGCACAAACGAGCAAAGCGCAGGCACGGCGTGCGTGGCTGACCCGGCCGTCGAGGGACGAGGGCCACTCCCACCACTATGGGTGTTACGGCTGCTCGAGCATCGAGCGCCGGCGTTGGAGGAGTTCAACGCGGACACCGTGTCGAGGTAACTGCACGCGCCGCCGCTGTGTCGCTCACTTGGAAAGAGAGCACGCAGGATATGCCGGCCGTTCACGTCGGCAGGCGAGGACGACGGCGAGGAAGTGCAGCAGCCGCCACCGCAGTCGTCGCGGTCGTGTGACAGCTCAACAGGTGGGCGGTACCGCGCATCCACGCGCCGCCGAATCCACGCAAACGCCATCACATCCAAACACAAGACGTTGATCGGCACGAGAACGGCGATGACGAGGGAGAGGAAATGGACTGTCGACATGTGCGGCAGCGCGGCAGCAACGCGGCGGAGTTCTTCCGCGGCGATGGCCAGCTTCGCACGCAGACTAGATAGGGTCGAGGCGGGAGATGCGGCGATTGTCGGCGGTGGTCGCGTGCCTTCGTGGGCTTCCAGCGGCGGTTCCGCACGCGGACGTCGCGACTCCCGCGCAGCTGCCGCTTCCACCGAGACCTCTCCAACGTCTCCTTCGTGCTCCTCGTTTTCTTCTTCCGTTTTGCTGCTGTGGTGGTGGTGGTGGTGGTGGTCATCGTCGTTGTCGTCCGAGTCCGTCGGCTCCTCCAGCAGGCCTGTTCGATAGAAACCTTCGGCGTCGTGGTAGTCGTGGACGCGCGCGGTTGCCTTCGGCAGCTCCACAGCAGGCGGTGCGCGTACGCCGACTCCCTGCGATGCGAATTCCGCTTCGCTTTCCAGTTCTTCTTCTTCTTCGTTGCCCGTGGCCGACTTCCGCGTCGTGACAGACGCCGTCGTCGGCGTGACATCGCCGGAGTCGGGCGGACACGTCGCGCGCCACGCCTGCGCGAGCGTTGGCGGACGTAGCGGCGGTGGTGCGGGGCCGTGCGGATGATGTCGCTCGTCTCTCCTGTCGACTCCCTCCTCGCCCTCCGCTGCTCCGTCCGCGTGTGGGGACACCCGATCAGGGAGCACCACCCGCGCATTCGGGGAGGTCGCGTCGCTTCGCGGTGGCGGCAACTCCGGCTCGGCCTTCGGCTGCGGCGCAAGGAAGCGGTGAGCGTGTTCCTTGGCGCTGCCGGTGCGATCAGCAGGGACGGCGGAGCAGCTACTTCGATCGTTGTTGCTGCAGCTGCTCTTGTTCTCGTGATCCTTGAGGGGATCTTCTTGGCCGCTTGAACTCGATTTATCGACTTCAGCGGTGGGTCGACACGCATTCGATAGTTGCTGCTGCCCTGTCGTTGCGGGGGACACGTCACCGGACCGAAACGCGGCGCCGCGGGATGAAGCGTAGGAGATTGTGTGAGTCGTCGTCGGGGGAGATTGACCGACGACGCCGTACTCGCGGTGGCCGTACACGGCCGCCGAGCTGTCGCTGTCGCCGTCACCGTTGTGGTGGTGATAGCGGTGGTGGGGGTCGTCATGGAGCACCAGGCGACGCAGCAGCTGAGCGTCTTGCTCCGCCACTAGATCGTCTAGCGCGTCGAAGCTATCGTGGCTGTCGCCGTGATGTGTGCCATCAGCATCGTGATGGCTACCACCGTGACTTTCCTGATCATCGCAGGAGAGGGATTCAAAATCACTGGACATGATGAACGTGTGTGTGTGTGTGCACGCGAAAGCAGAAGGGGAAACAATAGAGCTAATTATAATAACAATAACAGCAGTAATGGTGCTAACAAAGGAAAAAGAGGGGATAAAGCTGTTCCAAGAGAGAGAGAGAGGAGGATATTTCCGTTCAATAATAGGAGAAAAAAAGGAATGGTGGAAAGTCTCAGGCTCCCCCAGCAGTGCAACTCTGAAAAAAAAATATATATATATTTGATACAGATGATTATGATGCTAGTATCCAAAGAAAGGCGATGCAGTGAGGGCGCGATGGACTTGATGTTTCTTCTCACGCGCGCTGACACACACCCACACCCACCCACACAGCTGCAAATATTCTTTAACGTTTAAAATCTCGGATACGCACGCCGAAAGCTTACCAAAAAAAAAAAACAGCCAAACTAACACTAGCAGAAATAAGAACGCGCCGATAAGACGCAACAAGGGAGAAGAAGGTGTTTTCCTTCCTTTTAAAAAAAGAAGTTGAAGCGTGGTGTCGCGAAGCAGCAAAGAAAATAAAATATAATAATAATTATAATGCAAAGAGAGAAATGAAAAGAACTTTTAGCCGGTCGTTTGACGGTCGTTTGACGGTCGTGCTGGGAGCTTTCGTGGGATTCGCTTTCTACGTCAACAGGCTGCGAGGGAGAGGGGAGCAGAGGAGAGAGGAGAGAGAGGCTGTAAGCTGGAAACAACAGGAACAGCAAGAAGCTGTTAGCATTGTGCGCATTCCAAAGATTATCATTATCATCATCATCATCAACACGAGTAGTCGAGATGAGCGCTTTCCGCAGGCTGCGAATGTCTTGTTGCCTCATTTCTCCTTTTCTCTCTTGCGTGTAGAACATGGAAGCACATGGATGCACCACCGGGGGAGGGGTGACAGCTGGCATCGCCTTTCCTGTGTGAAGGCACACATACCTCCCTCCTTCACGCGCACCTCCGTCCCATCCAGCGGAATGCGAAAAACAACAACAACACCGTGTAACAGCAACAGCAACACGAATCATAGCCAAAGCTATTATTACTTTTTAAGAATGAGATAATGTAGAAACATTATAAAGGGGGTGCTCCATCGTGAGGCAGCAGCAGCAGCGGCAGCGGAAGAGTTCATGCTGCACTTCGGGAAAACAAACAGCAGAATCAGCAACGCATTGTCTCTACGTACAACCGTCAAGACGCGTGTATATGGCCGGGTGCGCGTCTTCCCTTTCCAGGTCTGTACGTGCGGTTTCGCGTACTCCACGGCGTAGCAGCGATGCGTAGGTACCGCAAACATAAACATAAATATGAAAATACAAACAAACACATCCACAGTTTTGTGGCCACAATTACGAGTACTCCGGCGAGGAGGTCCGCAGAAAGAACACGAGAAAGGCGAAGAGGTAGAAGGTCTGGAATTCGCGGAAGGCCACCACCATGTAGTAATCCTCTGGCTGGAAAAAGGAGAAGGCAAAGGCGATGTGCAGGACGTACCACACCAGCAGCATGCCAAAGGGGACCCACATGCGCCGATAGCGCAGGTACACATCCATCGCGGGGAGAACAACGCTGGGGTAGTCGAGGCGGGGTGGCGGTGCGAGGGCAATCGGCGGTGGTGGCTGCGGCGGGGGGTCGGATGTGAGTCCGTTGCCCCGCCGAGCTGCTGCGGATGCTTCTACGGCGGAGGAGAGGGATGAGGCCCGAGGAGCACCACCACCGCCACCGCCGCCTCGACCTTTATAAGCCCCTCCGTTGTCACCGCTCGTGTCACGGCGGTGACCGTCGTGCAGCTGCTGCCGTCGATGACGGCGTAGCTGCCGTTCCTGCAGCCGTCGCTGCCGCTGCACGGCGGCTGCGTCAGCCGGTATGACGCTCCGCGAGAGCCACAACATGAGCAACAGCATCCGCAGGACGTTGTGCAGCCGACAGACGAGTTCGAGGGCGATGCGGGCATACGTGACCGAGTTACACCGCGCCGTGTTCGCTGCTTTGGCGTACTTGTTCGCCGTGAGCGCGAGGTTGTAGCCGTCGGTGTCGCAGGTGGCCTGGAAGATGTACACGGTGAACATTCCAATTGTGGCGAGGCAGACAATCACGATTTGGTTCGTCGGGAGCGGGTACGTGAAGGCGAGTCCCCAACCCATCCCAATCAGCATCTCCACCGGTATGACCAGCGTGTCGACCGTAATCGCGAAGATGACGGAGACAACGAAGAGGGAGTAGTTCGAGGTGACCCCGCCAATGGAGAAGCCCGCCATCAAGGAGTACTTGGCGGAGTAGAGGATACACAGCAGCACCTTCAGCGCCATCAGAACCAACAGCAGCCATTGCAGCGGCGCGTACATGATCAAGATGTAGCTCTCGCGCCACCACCGTTCCATCGGTGCGATCACCGTGCACGTCAGCCCGGCGTACACGGCGTAGCCGAGTGCGGCGATCGCGTGGAGACAACGTTGGTGCACCGGTCGACGACGGCGTAGCTCACTCCTGCGGTGATGACGATGATGATGCGGGTGATGATGACTGCTACCGTCATCGTGGCTGTTCGCTGCGGGGTTCGCCACAACAGCCCAGCAGCACAGCAGCGTAAACAAATCCGCTGGTTTGCTGCGCCGTGTCCGCGCCAAGGAAGCAGCCGAAGAGGAAGAGGAGTTAGAGGGAGAAGGGGAGCGTCGCTGTCGTTGACGTCGGTGTCGACCACAGCGGCTGTGCCGGTGATGATGAGGGGCTCCGTGCGCACCGCCACTTGCATCCCCCGCTGACGCGCTGTCCGCATCATCGCTGCTCGTCAGCGGCGTTGCACGAGGTCGCCGAAAGCCGTCGAGGTCGGAGTAGAGAGAGGAGTAATCGTTGCTGCTGCTGCTGCTACTACTACTGCTGCTACGAGTGCTGGTGCTGGTGCTGTCCTCGTCATCTCCGTCTTCACTGCTGCTGCTGTTGTTGATCGCCACGTCGTCGGACGAGGGGGCCGAGGCGTTGGAATACAGAGAGTGCAGCGACGACATTTCTGCTTCGGCACCTCCGCTGTCCTGCGCCGTCGCCTTCACTTTCTTCGTTGTCGGGCTGCCCTTCTCGCTGCGTGTGCGCTGCCCGCCACTGTTGCCGTCGTTGTTTTCTTCCTCCTTGCTGTTGATGGGTTCATCGGAGTCGTCGTGGTGCTTTGCAGATGGCGTACTCGACGTTCCTTTGTGCTGCCTGGGCGATTTGTGCGCCGTCTTTCCACCGCTGCTGCCGCTGACGCCGCCGTTCGCCTCTCCCCCTGCTCCTCCCTTTTCCGCTGTGTCGGGTGATGCGGCGCGGTGCCGGCGAAAGCGGTGCCGTCGGTGGCGACGAGCGTGATCGCTCTTCACCCCCGCGGCGTGCGCCCCCTGCACCTTCGCCGCGTCCTTCTCCTTCAGCTCCCGCTCGCGCCACCGCCGCCGCCGCTTCCCGCACGGGACGATCAGGAACAGGAAAGTCCCTGCCAGAATCGCGTAGCACACGAGGAAGAGGAAGTAGATGATGGAGATGTAGTAGTTCTGGCCACTGCCGATGCGGTCGTGCGGGTTGGTGAAGGTGATACGAACGGTAAAGGAGAGCGGCACACCGGAGCACTGCGCGACGACCACCACGGCGCGCGCGGCGGGGTAGCGGTGGCGCAGCGTCACGTTCGTCTGCAACCAGTCGCCAGAGGTGCCGAGGCTCCAGGACGAGGCTTGGGCCAGCAGGGCGTTGAGCGAGACGGTGTACAGCGCCGGCGCCGCACAAACCCGCGCGGGGTCGATGGCTAAGTTGTAGCCAAGAGACTCGTACGCGTCCTCGCGCGCGTTGACAACGTCCTCCATCGTGACGTCCCCATCCTCTGTTGCTGCAGTGGTGGTGGTGGCGGAGTCGTGCCTTGTCCGCCGGAGGCGTTGGAACGCTGTTGAGTAGCTGCGTTTCCGTGCGGCGCCATCCGCGTAGGCCTCGAGCAGGGACGCCGCGCTCACCCACGCATCCGCCGCCGAGCTCGGCGGGTGACTCAGCTGGTACCATACATCGTAGCTGATCACCTTCAGCACAAGAGACGACGACAGCTGGAGGTAATTGGCGGTGAGGAGCGTGCTGATCGGGACGGGCGGCAGCAGCTTGGCGGGTGGAGGCAGATAACGTGCACAGGACGCAAAGGAGGAGTCCGAATAGGCAGAGGAGACCGGCCCTTGTGGTGGTGCGTCTTGTAGCTCCACAGCGGTGTGGCGCCGGGCACCCACGAGGCGCTCGCCTGCTTGTCGCTCCCACACACTCTTCATCGTCTGTGCTGAACCGCCGGTCGTGTCCGTTGGCGTTCCGGCGGATCGTGCGGTATTGACGCGTCCGTCCGGCTGGGGCGACTGCCGCCGCCGCTGTGCTGCTGTTGCTGCTGCTGCTGTCGGTGTTGCTGCCGTCATCCCTCCAGCTCCCATGCGTGATAAGGATGAAGTCTGCTGTGGCGTACGCATGGCCATCAGCACCGGCGCGTTCAGCAGGCAGTGCAGGCGAGGCTGGTTCCAATAAAAGAAGGTCGTCTTGGACGAGATGTTGGGGTACACCTCGTCCTCACCAGAAGCGGTGGTCTTGTGAAGCGGCGCTGCTGTTGTGCTGGTTGCTGTCGCGAAGAAAGCGTCGGAGGTCTGCGTCCCGTCATCGACCATTCGGACAGCGTCCGTGTGGCTGTCCCGTGTGTCGTCCGCGCGGGAGCTTGATTTCGTCGGTGCAACCGTTGTTGTGGTTGTTGTGGTGGTAGAGGTGGTGGTAGTACCGAGAGCGGCCGCGACAATCGGCGCCGTTGGCGGGTCAAGACGGAAGCCCTCCACGTAGGCCTGAAAGGAGTTGTACGCGTACGCCGGGGCGACGCCGGAGCCGACTTCGACGACAATGGTGCAGCCCGTCAGCATGTAAAAGAACTCCTCCGTCGTAAGGACCTCGTAGTAGGCGCTAAGGCCGTTGCGGGGTCCTTTGAACACGCTGGAGAAGTGCGCCTCCTCCTCCTCCTCCTCCGCGGCGGCGGCGGCGTTGACGGACGCAGACGGCATTGCTCGTTGGGCATTTAAATCATTCCATCGAGCCGTCACGTTCGCCGAGGCAAACAGCGTCTCTTTCCTCGCTGACAACACTACCGCCTCCTCTTCCTTTTCTCGTACACGACCCACGTGCGACCTCGTTTCAGCTCCTACTGGTGCTTCAAAGATGAGGATGAAGTACAAGTCGTAGAAGGGGCAGGTGTTCACGAAGTTTTCCCGCGTGGCGGAGTTGATGTCATCGAAGCTCGACGGGCACGTCGAGGGCGTGAAGGCGGTGGTGGAGAAAGAAAGCGCCGCGCCGAAGGGCGTTGCGTGGGCGAAGAGAAGAGGCAGCCGTGGCGCGAGACAACACCAGCGCGGCAGCACGGCGGACACGAAGAGGAGAACCACGTAAAAAAATAACCAATTGAGAAGCACGGCGAGACGTGCACCGGAGAAGCGGACGCCACCTCGCTTTTTTGGCTGCCGATCGGCGGTGTACGACGTGCTTGAGGCCATAAGAGGACTGTGCGTGTCGTCGCCCCCCTGCCTCCTCGTGGCGCTGAGGTGGTGCTGTGGACACGTTGCCGAAGAGGAACATCGCAAGGATGGCGCGTCGCCTGTGGGGCAGGCGCCCTCGCCCTCCTGCGCCGTCGTACGAGGCATGCCGCTGTCCATAGATTTACGAACCGCACAAAGGATGCGGAGTGGGGCGGGGGGTATCCGTGTGGAGGTGAGGTACGCGCTAAGCGTAAAGGTCAAGAGCACTTGCCTGAACTGGCAGGCTCCTTTCTTTTATTTACGTTGGATGCGATAAGTAATATCGGAAAAGAGAGGAAGAAGAGAGAGTAAAAGAACGGAAAGATTGATCGACCCTTCTGTCTTGTGCTTGCTTCTTTCGGGGTAGTGCTGGCTGTGCTCCACGCTCCTTCCTTCGTACTCGTCAGCAAGTCGCGGAGCCAACAAACACAAAATCGGTAAAGCAACGCCGATGAATGCCGCCTCGCAAGGAGGACGGAGAGGAAGAGCAGCAGCGAACTTTCTATCCTAAAAAAAAAAAGAAAGGTCACGACATTGCTCCTCCGCGAATACGCCTAACGCAACACCCTTCTCGAATAAAGGAGGAGGCGGCGGCCGTACGCCAAGGGGAAAGAGAGAGAAAGAAAGGCCCATGTTTGCAGCAACTCTCCTTTTGAATTTCGTTTTTTCTTGTTTTCATTCTCTTTTTAAAGGGCAGCTTTTTGTTCCATACAACCTCTCGACAACGCAATGGCGACAGAGGAGAGGAGAGAGGAGGAGGCGAGCGCACATCCGTCTGGCCACCAGTGGGGTGAAACCTTCGAAAACGAAAACACATCAATATAAATATATATATATATATATAACTAACACAGAGTGAGAAGTCGAATGATCGACGAAAACGCACCTGCACTCGCGGTGTCGCAAGTGGGTCTGGACCGGGCGGGGGGGGGGAAAGAGCAGAGGTGTGACGCGGCACACCCGACCCGTCGCGCCTCTACTGCTTCATTGCGCTCTGCATAATCCAAATAGCCATAATAGTAATAAACAACAACATCGAGGAGCCGCACCTCTCCCCCCCCCTCCTCTCTCTCACACATACAAACGGGTTTCCACCGCCTTATTGCTCCGAGTACTGATGCGCCGTACCCTCCAACCGCTTCATGTCGGCCACCTTCCGCACCGCTTTGTTGAAGTCATCGTTCTCAACGTAATCGCGCCCCGCGCGGATGGCGAACATGCCGGCCTCGGTGCACACGTTACGCAGATCCGCCCCGTTAAACCCCTCCGACAGCTTCACGACGCCGTCAAAGTCGATGTCTCCCTTCTTCGTGATCTTCGCGGAGTGAATGCGCAGGATATCAAGCCGACCGGCCTCGTTCGGTAGGCTGATCTCAATCTTGCGATCGAGCCGCCCGGGCCGCATCAGCGCGGGGTCGAGCGTGTCAGGCCGGTTCGTTGCCATAATCACCTTCACCTTGCCCAGCTTGTCGAAGCCGTCCATCTGGTTCAGCAGCTCCATCAGCGTCCGCTGAATCTCGCGATCGGACGAGGAGCCCTCGATACGCTTGCTGCCGATCGCGTCCACCTCATCGATAAAGATGATGCACGGCTCGTGCTCGCGCGCGTAGGCGAACATCTCCCGAATGACGCGCGCGGACTCGCCGATGTACTTGTCGACAATGGACGACGCAACAATCTTCAGAAACGCTGCATCGACATTCGCGGCGATCGCCTTGGCGAGCAGCGTCTTGCCGGTGCCCGGCGGGCCGAACAGCAGCACCCCCTTCGGTGCCGCAATGCCCACCCGTGAAAACAACTCCGGATTCGTCAAGGGCAGCTCTACCACTTCACGCATCTCGCGCATCTGGTGCTGCAGGCCGCCGATGTCCTGGAAGGAGATGTCCTTGTCGCTCGACATGTACTGCATGCTGTACACCTGCGGATCGACCTCGCGCGGCAGCACCTTCACGATGGTGAAGGTTGTGATCTCCAGCGCCACGCGCGCGCCAAACTTCAGCTTCTTCGGATCAATGCTCTTGCGGTAGCCGACGAGGTGGCGTGCCCCGCTGACACTCTTGACGATATAGCGCTCCTCATCCACACGCTTCAGCACCTCGCCGACGTAGTGACCGATGCTGAGCAGGGCGTTGATGCTGTCTTCCACCTTGTCGAGCTCTCGCTTCTGCTGGCGGATGTCGTCGTTCACCTTCTTCAGGCGCGCCTGGGTCACGTTGCGCTCCACCGTTTTCTTGATGGCCTCGTTCCGCAGCGTCTCGCGCTCCGGGTCCAGCACGGTGTTCGACTGCATAACTCACAAGAAGAGGTCTTTTCCTCTTTTCTTCGGCGGGCCGGCGGGTCTCGTGACGCTTCAGTTTTTTTTCGTTCCTCAGCAAAAACACGAACGGAGGAGCAGCGGCAACGGCGTGAAGGCGGAACAAATTGAAGAGACAAAGCGGTGCGGTACAACGTCTAGTACTTCTTAAAGAAAGAAAGAAAAAAACAGGAGGTATATATATATATATATATATAGGCTGGTGGATGAAATGCTGTTCGTATAGACGTGCAAGAGGTGTGTGTGTGTGTGTGTGTGCGTGGGCGGAGGGAGGTCGTCGTGTGCTGACAAGAAATACCTGTCCTGCTGCTTCTGCCTTCTCCGCGGGAATCAACAACGGCAACGGCAAGAAGGGATGAATAACAATAATAATAGAAAAAAACAGGAATGCTGACAATAATACTAACAACAGTTTAATAGCGCCTCCCTTGGAAGTCGGAGCACAACACACGTTCTTTTTCTTCTTCATTCCCCACAGTGGAGAAGTTTGAGCGAGGGAAGGGAGAATCAGCAACGATGAGCAATCACGAAGGGCGAGGAAAGGGAAAAGACGAGGACGCGAAAGTGTGGCACAGGAAGAAGGCTCTTCTACATACATAGATCTACTCTGTTCTCGCACACATGCTCGTGTGCGTGGCGGCGCGTTGACGTCTCTTGCGTCCGTCGTACACAACGGCAGCGCAGATACTTAAAACACTCCACGTGCCGGCGCTGCGGACAGCTGTCGCCTCGCAGCGCATACCGCGAGCAACAGGAGAAAAAGCAAGAAAGCAAACAATCAGCAAAGAACAACAACACCAATAAAGAAGGCGGTCGTCAACGAGCGAGAGCAAGCGCCTCACGGAGCGCCCATACTGTTATGGCTACTATTAACTTCTGTTTTGTTATGGATTTATTTATAATATATATATATATATGTGTGTGTGTGTGTGTGTGTGTGAACTCAAAGCGGCATGCAGCCCGAACACGGCCGTTCTGCCTTCCCCGTTTCTCTCCCTTCTCGCCCTCCTCCTTCCTTCCCTCCTCCGCCGGCGTCAGTGTACCACAACACCATGCCGACAGTCTAGGCAACGTCAACACACACACACCAGCCGTTACTCAAAGAACAACAGGACAACGCAGCCAACGAGCAGCAGCAACGCGTCCAGCCTCTCCCTTCCATCCTTATACAAGTTCCATAACAAGTGAAATCAAAACAAAACGGTAAAGCCATAGCTACTATAATCTGTGAATACACCACCGCCTTTGCAATGCGAAGCCGGTTTAAGAAAAAGAGAAAGAAAGAAGAAACAGACATAATATGAATAGGAATAGCACAGATTAACAACCGACAGACACACACACACACATACAAACGCGTGTTTAGTCGTCCACAAACTGCTGCACAAATATTGTCTCCTCCGCCACACCCGGGGCAAAGACGGCTGCCAAGTCCGCAGGTGTCCGCAGAGGCCGGTTACTCTGCGCTGCGTACACCACCTCCCACTGCACCTGCGCATACGCGGCGTCGAGCTGCTCCTGCAGCGCCGTCAGCCCCGCACGTGCGTCACCGCCTTTGCTGCTGCCGTCGTGGCCGGCGAGGGCTGCAAGCTGAGCCACCGCGTATTCATGCAGCAGCAGAGATTGCAGCACGCAGACGCCGTCCACCATGGAACACTTCCCGAGTTGTTGCAGCGTATGAGCGGCGGCGTCCGCCAGCGCGCGCAGCGCCTCGACCTCTTCCCCTTCCGATTTTGTCCCTTCCGTCGCTGATGCCGCATCATCGTCATCATCACCTGAGCTGCTTCGAGTACGTGATGGTGTGCTGGCAGAATGACTCGCGGCGGCCGCCTCGTCTTCATCTAAATCGTAGGCCCACTGACGCTGTTGCTTGGCGCGTGGTTGCGACACGTCACTGAGCAGCACCGACTCCGCCTTCACCACGAGTGCGCGCAGGTGCGGAAGTGCGATTACCTTCCACGGCGAAGACGAAGCATCCGCTTCCGCTGATGCACTTCCTTCGCCATTGCGATCCTTCACGAGGTGGCGTACCGAGCACAACGGCCCGACCGCCTCCGCCAGCGCCCGTGCCATTGGACTACCGGCAAAGACCGCCGAAATGCGCATGTTTCTGTCCACCTGAAGACCCACGGGGCCCAGCGCGCTTTCCTCTCCCACACCACCACGCCGCACCGTCACCGTGAAGCGCAACAAGGGGAACTGCCGAACGCTCAGCGTTACCGACTCAGGCGGAAGCGACGCGATCGGCGAGTGTGGGGGTGGTTGTGCCGCCGTCCACAGCTCCTGCCGCAGTTCCGCGTGATGGCGCACGTCTCTCTGGTTCACACGTTCCACAAGGTACAGATAAAAGGAGCGGGCGCGCACGTGCGCTGCGACCGCGGCTGCGTTCACCGAATCCGCGCCGTCCACTGCGGCCGATGGAGGAGTGCGACGCGCAGTGACGAGTCGAAGCGTGTCGGCGATGCGCGTCCCCTGTGACTGCTTGGCTGCAAACACGTGGAAGCTAAAAAGGCGGTTTTGTTGGACTGCTTTAAGGCGTCGTGTGCCGTGCTGCAGGCGCAGTCCCCACTTACCGCGCGTCAGATCCGTCGCGACGAGACGGTTGATGGCGAGCGTGACGCTGCTGCGGGCCAGCTGCGCCGGTGTCAGCGGACGGACCGGACAGTGCGGTGTGGCGAGGCCATCCAACAGCTCGGCATCCACCTTCACCGCGCTCGCAGTCGCTGATGAACCCAGATGCTGCTGTTGCTGTGGATCGGAAGGATGGTCGCGCTGGCTCAATCGCGATGTGCGCGTCTCTTTCGTTGTAGAGGAGGGGGAGGTCAACGCCGTTGCTGCTGTTGCTGCTGCGTCATCGACCGCGGCGGCACACAGGCGATAGCTCGAACCTTTCCTCTCCAGCGCCAGAGTTAAGAAAAACTGTTCTGGCACCTCCCCCGACTCTACGAGATCCGTCGTCGTCACGCCACTGCTGTTGCCGCGCTTCGCACGCAAAAGATTTTCATCGACCGATACTTGAAAGGCCGCCATCGCGCGCGCAGCCTCGGCTTTGTTGTGCACGGCGGTGTTGTCAATGCGCACCACGCGGTACATGTCGTTTAGCAACGGCTCCAGCTTCGGCAGCACCTCGCCAAACAGTCGCGCCGTCAGCGCCGGGTCGTTGCGGGGGAACGACGCGGCAGGCGCCAAGGACGCCACCGTCGCGTGCTCGCACTGCAGTCGCTTCTCCGCGGAGTTGGAGGCGTACATGTACTGCACCATCAACCGGGTGAAGTTTACCAGCGTCATGTCTATTCCGTCCAGCTGCAAGCCCCAGGAGCGACGCTTGTGGAGGTGTCGACGGTGCTTCGAGAGGGCGAGGGTGAGGCGGTAGGGGAGGTCCTGCAACCAACGTTGTGTCGCAGGGCTGGTGCGCTGCACGGCGGTGCGCATCGCGACTTCTACCGCGTGTCGCCGCTGCGGTGGCAGCGCCGCGGTGCTCTGCGGAATTTTGTCCGACGCGTGCGTGGTGTGCTGCAGTGCGTCCACTAGCGCAGGAGGCACGTCTTCCTTGCTCAGGTCATCCCCATTTTCCGAACCTTTCGCGAGAGGAGGGACGAGCTCAGTGTGTTCGCCGAGGAGGTCGTCCGCCATCACGGCCGCCGGCGCTGCTGTTTCGAAGGTCAGCCAGACGTCGCGCGCCTTTGACGCGTGCTGCAGCAAGGCTGCCGCTACATCGCGCTGCGTCGACACCGGCGCTTCGTTCACTCGCACCAGCGTCCACGGACACGCCTTCAGCAGCTCAGAGCCGGCAAACGTCGTCTTACCTGTTTCGCTGCTTTCCCGCGCGCGTAGTTGCAGCACGGCGGGATCGGTCGGCAGGAGGAGGACGGGGGACTGCATCAGCAAGTCGTGCAACGGCTCTGCGGACGACGCAGACCTTCTCGGGACGTCGTCCGCCGCTGCCGTCATCATCGTCGTCGTCGTCGTATGGTCGTGTTCGAAAACAGATTGCAGGAACTGCACGAGCCCGTGCGATGTGCTGCGGGCGTGTGCGTCGCCGACCGTTCCGTCCGCGTCGTTGACGGTATGGTTTGCGTGCACAGCTGCTGCTTCTGTTATCCACGATGCTGGCCACGGCGATGCCTGTGCGGCGCCCGGCAGCGACATCGCCTTCGCCTTCTCTTCCCCCTCTGCCGATTCTTCGCTTCCTTCTACCGACCCCTCCGTGACGCTCCACACCGCGCCTTCGCGGAGCAGCTGCACGTGCTCCATGCCGACTAAATGAAGGGCCTTTGTCAGGTGCACGCCCCAGCGTTGCTCATCGTTGCGACGGCGGAGGTGCAGCCGCATGCGCACAGTGCGGGTTGTTACTGCACCTGCTGCTGCTTTTGCTGTCGCAGCCGACGCGGAGGCGACGCTCCTATCGCTTGGTAGATGCGTGTCAGGTTGTGTGTCTTCTGTGATTCGATCAGTCGTGGACGCGGCACGAGCTGGCAGCGGAAGCGGTCCTGCCGTTGCCGTGATAAGGTCTCTCTGCGCGACCCCGCGATGCGCTTTATGCTGATACTCCGCACACTGCTCCTGCGTATCGTGACCGCGATTGTAGCACGTCGTGCAGTACACCGGTGCCGTGAGCAGCGGCGTCTCGGGGTCCAGCTCGCGCCGCATGCGATGCACCTTGTGCTGCAACGCGCTGTCCGCCTCTGTCTCGATGCCAGAAAGCAGGAAGTACTCCCGCAGGAGGTTCGACAACCCCGCCAGGTTGTACTCCACCACCGCGCGGATGTAGACGGTGAAGACGCGATCACCGATGTCCGCCGTGCTGGAGTGCGGAGCAGCGGGCACGAGGCCGCCTGAGAGGTACCGGTGGGCGTGGCCCAGCACGACGTAGTCCTCGGGGCGCGGAATAGAAAAGAAATCTTCCGCCAGCACGCCGGAGGTGAGACGCGCGCCGAGGGTGGTGCGCTCTAACACGTCACTCGGAGGCAGGAGATGACACGCGCCCGTGCAGCGCGACGCCGCAGAAGCCGCAGAAGGCGGAGACGACGCCCGCTGCTGCTGCTGCTGCTGCTGCTGCTGCTGCTGCTGCTGTGTCATGGCGACGGAGGCGGTGGTCGATGCTGTTGGTGCCCCTGCTGCGGCGGCCCAGCGGTCGTTTGTCAGCAAGCGCGCCGCGTCGTAGTGCAGCGCCCGCATCGGCGGTTTATCCTCCAAAATCGCGAACTCCATCTCCACCGGACGCACGATCAGCCGCCGAAAGAGCAGCGGCGACGAGTCAGCCCGCACGTCCAACAGCAGCCGCAGCTCGTCCGTCAGGCCCAGCAGCAGCTGCGGCGCGTGCATGGCACGAAGGAGGGCCAGCATGTTCGCGCGCGTCATAATCGGGTGATGGGTGTCGTCAGCCGCGAAGAGATGCTCGGGGTAGCGACCACGCAGGAAGGGAATGAAGACGTCGTCGAGCGCGGCGGCGGCGGCCTCGGCGGCGGTCGTCACGACCATCACGTGCGCCGCCTTCACCGTGACGATCCCGCGGCGGTGCACGTCGGATCGAAACGCCGGCTTGAGCACCACGTCGCCGAGGCACACCTCCCGCCCACCTTCACGCAGTCGCCGACTCGCCATCGTGTTCCACACCAGCCCCCGCAGCGCGTTCACCCAGCGACGGCGCCACACGTACGGAGTGCGCACCACCGTCGCGTGCCAGTCCCCGTTCGTCTGCACGTACGTCTTCAACACCTGCCGCACCGTCGAGTCCGTGCTGACGTGGTGGGCGTGCTGGGCGGTGGCCACGTTCGGCTGCTTTAAGAAACGCTGGAGTGGCACCGGTGCTTTGCGGCGCTGCAGCGCGTTTAGCAAGGCAGATTTGAAGAAGCCGTGCAGGACGTCGGTCGCCGCTCGGGCCAGCGAGGCTTCACGGTTGGCGCAGAAGCAGATTGCGCCGAGGGTTTGCACGGCGCGTAGGCGGTGCTCCAGCTGTTGTCGTGTACGGACGGCGGTGCTGCTGTCGCTGCTGCACACGCGGCGGAGCAGCAGTTCCGTCGCGTAGAGGGGCTGCCAGCGCGCCAGCTCACCAAAGAGCTGCTGCGAGACCGACGTCGATGACCACGATGCTGCCGTTGCGGTGTCCGAGCTGACGAGGGGGTCGCCACTATTGCTGGTACTACTGGTAGTAGTGCCGTTGCTGTTGGTGTCGCTGTCCTGCGATGGATATCGATCCGGCGACACCTCCTGAATGCTGCTTACACGGAGCACAAAGCCCGGATGACGGAGGGTGTTCAGCAGCAGGAGGTGTTCACGTCGCAGCCGGTTTTCCGCCACGGCGCACAACACGGTGGTACACGACATCTTACTGACGGCCGAGTGGGTTTGAAAGCAGCGCTGCGGCAGGCCGAAGAAGGTCGCCACGTGACCTATCGCGTTCTGCGAGGAAACGTTTTCAAGGTAGAGGTGAAAGACGAAGGCGGGCGATGTTGCACTGGAGGCTGACGCGGAAAGCGAAGACGAAGACACGGCGGCGGCGGCGGCGGCGGCGGCGGAGAGGAGGACTCCTTTCACCGGAAGGCTGGACGACGAGGCAGTCGGTGCGGGCAGCGACTCCGTAAATCCAATCACAGGCGGCGGCGCCGTATCCAAATAGCGGATCACGTCGGCGAGCGTGAGTGTGGGACGGCGGCTCTGCCGGCTGTTCGCATCTGCACGACCGGCACCGGCCCTCGTGCTATCACCTTTGTCTTCGTTCTTCTCCTGCTGCTCTTCTTCTTCTACCTGCTGCAGTGCGCGGCGCAGCGTGGGCACCAAATCGGCTGTTGTTTGCTGCCGCAGATACAGCAGAAAGCGCAGCAGCAACGCACAGTCAGCAGGCGGCAGCGGCTCGAGTTCCACCACGCCTGATGCCGGGACAAACCACGGCCGTGCCGTGCCGAACGTTATGGGCTGTGCAGCCGCATCATCCTCCGCTGCTGCATCTGGATCCACGACGTCGTCCACTGCGTGAAGGCTTTCATTGACCATCGGCGCTTGTGCAGCAGAAACGGATTCTTCCGCATTGGTTGCTGTGGTCGCGCTGCCTGCCTTGGATTCGTCCTCGTCCTCGTCCTCCTCCTGTAAGCTGGGCGACACCTGAGGAGACGCCGCTGCCAGACCGTTGGCGGAGGCCTCTGCGTCGAATGCCGCAAAGTCGGCCTCGCTCAACGCATTGTCGAGGCTCACCTCCACGTACGCCGCACCGTCGATCACTACGGTGGATGCGTCGGGGTTGGCGTGGGGTGTTGCTTGTTGCGGCGGCGGTGGAGGAGGAGGTGCGGGCTGCGGATGTGATGCAAAATAGAGGCTGCGGTCGAGCTCGTGGACCACGGCGTCGCCGTAATGAACTTCGTGCAGCGCCGGCAGCCGCGGCAGCTCCGGCACAAGTCGCTCCGTCACCCCAACCTCGAACTCCGCTTCTGCAAGACTCAGCTTGCTGCGACGGCGCTCGATCTGCTCCCGCTGCGCGTGCGTCGGGCCAGCGTGCGCGGCTGCCGTATGGTGCGCGGCCCTGAAATGGAGAGCCGAGGCGGAGTCCAGCACTGCAGGGGTGTCAGCATCCGTCAGCACCGCGGTAAACAGCGACGATGACGATGACGCGGCCACCGCACCATCCGTTGAATTTCCTTCGTTCACCTTCGCGGTGATCGGCGGTGGGGAGGTTGGAATGAGCGGCGGCAGCGGCCCCGTGCGCGTCGTCGTCGTTGCCGCGAGCAGCCGCTCCACCTCGTCGACGTCGTCCGCTGCCGCCGCCACCTCTCCCTCCTCACTGCTTCCATGCACCAGGCGGGAGGGCCGGGGTGGCTTTACTGACTTGCTGCCGCTGCCGCTGCCGCTGCGCTTTCTGCGCGACGACGATGCCGCCAACCGAATCGACGTGGTGGCCAGCGCGGCGGCGGCGGTGGTGGAGGTGCGAGCGAGCGCATAGCGCGAGGCGAACATGAAACGAAAAAAGTAATAGTAGTAAGAAGAGAAGAGAAAGATTCGCGCGGATGGCGGCGGGGGAGGCGTGCCGTCGTGGGGAATTCCCTTTCTCTTTTCCTTAACCTCGTCCTTTTGTAGTTCATAAAACACACACCCACAACAGGAAGAAATAATATATATATATAAATATATATTTCCTTATTTATTTAAACTCGTTAGTTTTCTTTCAATCGCTTTTTAACGCTTCTTTTCGTCCTCCAGAGAGAAAAAAGGAGGGGGTATTTTCGATGTAATTTCAAAGCTGCTCAGACAACTCAGACAACTCAGGAAATCACCGCGACACGTCATAAAAGGTGCGCCGACGAGGTGCCTCAAAATGAAAGGAGGAGGGAGGGCGAGAGCGGCAGCAACAACAACAACAACGAAGCGTGGAGCCTATCTTGGATATGTGAAGAAGGAGGAGGTGGGCGTGTGTGTGTGTGAGTGAAGAGGTGCGTAGAGGTAGCGGCTGTGCGTGACAAGCGTGCGCGACGCCGTTCGTAATTCGTATTATCCGTTCCAGCAGCTTCTTTTTCTTTCCTTTTTTGGGTAGCGTTGAGTTTTGATTTTTGAGGACAACACACACGCACCCGCACAAACACACACACACACAGGTGATCATAACAGCAAGAGGGAGAAAAAGATGCAGGAGGGAAGGCGGAAGAAGTGCATGAAGCCGGGAAAAACATCGACATTTTCTCTTGCTATTCTCCGCTTTGAGAAGAGATGACGGCAGATCGCACACGCTTCAGTGCGATGTCGCCAACTCCACCGTGAGAACGCGAGACAAATAAAGAAGGAGGAGAGAGAAGCGGCGCTCAACACCGCTATGCTCGCTCGATACGAAAAGTCAGCTACACACATACACAGACACGTAGAAACTTCTTTCCGGCTTCGGCGCGTACACGATGGCCACGATGTGATGACAGCTACAGTCCCTTCCTTTATATATATATTCCGTACTGTTCATCATTGTTTGAATACTGATTTACTCTTCAGCATATATATATATATATAAGTGTTCGCCTTATCCGACAGCAACGACAGCACGGGGTGTACGCGTGTACCCCATCTTTGCTGTTCCCGCCCCACGGTGCACCACCAAGCCCAGAGCCGCCCGGAACCCAACCATCAGCTCCCCCACGCACCGTTACAACGGACTTCGTCAGTGACGAGAACGGAGAGCAACAACAACAACAAAATAGGGGAAGGGGAGGGCTTCGGTGAAAGGACGCGGCAAAGAGAAAAAGGAGAAAGCTGGCGAGCTCAGGGCTGTCCTCGCACATAGACACACACACACACACACACACACACAACTTCCGCAGCGCAGCACCACACCTATCCTTCGTTGTCGTCGTCATGAGCCGTCGGCTGCAAGACAAACAAAAGGCCTTTAGTCGATGTCCTCCGCATGCTCCGAGGTGGCCGACGCGGCAACGTCGTCGTCCTCCTCGCCCGCCTCCGCCCCTCCCACGTTGCTCTCCGGGTGCGCCACCGACGTATCCGCGTCCACCGCCGCCGCCAACGCATCATCGTCATCATCACCGCCGTCATTGTGATGGCTTTCCTCCTTTTTCGGAGGTGCTTCTGCTTCCGCCTCTGCGTCTGCTGCGTTGTCCTCCGCCTCCGCCTCCTCTTCCTCCTCTCCGTCCTCTTTCAGCAGGTCTGGGAACAGAAAGGAGGTGATAACCGTGCGCCCTCCAAACAGCTTTCCGGCGATTTGCTGCTGCGCCTCGGCGGCCTCGTCCACCGTCTCGTACTCGACAAACACACGCCCGTAGCCGCCCCACACGGGGTGTGTTTGCCGGTTCATGTAGCGGCCCAGCACCGCCCCAAAGTTCTTCTTCGCCTCATTGTACGCGGCGATGGCGGCCTCCTTCGCGGCGGCGTCGTCCTCGTCGTAGTCCTCGCCGGGCTTCGGTGCCTCCGGCAGCTTCGGGCGCCCTTCCCGCCGCGGCACGATCAGCCGCCGCACCCGGCCGAAATTCTCCACCTCCTCTTCAATGTCCGCCAGCAGACGGGAGTAGGCCGCATCGTGCACCAGCTCCTCCTCGTCGAACAGGTTCAGCAGCACAAGGACCGGCGTGGGGTAGACGGTGACCTGCGTGTTTGCGTAGAGGGGGCGAAGGTGAGGGTGCAGCGCGGCAAAGCGAGCGAGCATGTTGGGGAGGGAGAAGGACATGTCCAGCAACTCACGCATGACTTGCAGCGACGCTGCGGCGGGGTCTTCCGCCAGCACAAGCGCAGTGCTCTTCGCCCCTGCTGCGCCGCCGTCCATCGCACCACCGGCAGCGTTTCTATTCGCTGCCCCGCTGAGCGATGTGGTGTCCGGCATGCGCTCCCGTACTTGTTTCATCACGTAGCTGCCAGAGACCGGATCGTCGTCGGCGATCGCGATGTCCAGCCCTTCCCGCACGAGCAACGCCTTTAACCAATCGTGCAAGGGCAGCGCGACCGCCATCGTGTTGCCGAAGACGTAGCCGTGCACGTCAGCGCGGAACTCCGTCGCGGCCCGCAGCTCCGCAAACTCCCCGTACGCGTAGCCGTGACTGAACTCAAAAGACAGCACTTCCCCGGCATTTTCAAAAATACCTCGCACCGCGTCCGCAGGTATGGTAGCCGGAATGCCGACCAGCACAATTTTTGACTCCTCCACCCCCGTCAGCGGCTGCGTGTCGCGGGGACGGCGGATGGTAAGAGGCCAGACACTTCCATCCGCGGCGGTGAAGAGAAACCGCTGCGGGTCGGCTTCACACTGCCGGACGAGCTCGTCGATCATGTCCGCCAGGCGCAGCTCCATAAAGCTGAACGGCGTGCGCCGGCCCTGGTTCAGCGTCAGCTCGCGTATCTCGTCAATGTTGGACAGGTTCGCGTTGGGCGGGATGTGCCGCACTGCCTCCTCGCCCTCCTCCTGAATCAACCCCGTCTCCTCCGCCAGCTGCCGTATCTCCCGCTCCGTCATCATCCGGCGCACCTCGGGCAGCAGCACGCGGAAGTAATGCTCGAGGGAGTCGCGGGTCGTGTTGATGGGGAAGCCCGAGATGTGCGCCCGGCGCTGCTCGCGTGCGCGGCGGTCCACCTCAGGGGCGATTTTAGGCGCCTCCAGCAGCACCATCGCCCCACCGCCTGCGGACAACGTACCCGCCGGCGACCCAGCTGGATCGCTGCCGTTGTTATTGTTGGCGTTCCGTGCATTCGCGCCGTTCCCGTCCCCCCCCTCCGGCCCCGGCGACGCCGTCGACGGGCCGCCACGGACAAGGCTGAGTAAGCTCTTCGGCACGACCGGCACGAACTCGTCGACAGACGGCAGCACGCGCGCGGCAGCCGGCGCAGAGTTCGGCACGCGAGCTGCCGCGTTGGGGTCCTCGTTGTTGCTGACTCCGTGGAAGGTATCGGGTAACGGCAAAGGGTGCCCACTTGAGTCCGAATGCGGCTGCTGTTGTTGTTGCTGCTGCTGTTGTTGAAGGAGGAACTGCAGCAAGTCCGAGGTATCCATGCCGTTGTTGCTGTTCATATTCATATTAAAGCCGGCCATTCCATACGGCATCATTCCACCAAGGTTGCTACTGTTATTATTGTTGTTGGGATCAAACTGCTGCTGCTGAGGAGCCATCATATCGTAGAATGGATATCCGTTGTTGTAACCCATGTTCTGCGGCATACCATACGCGTTGCCGCCAGCGTAATCGAAGTCACCACCCGCCATAAAAGCCTGCTGCTGCTGCTGCTGCCATGCATTTCCATATCCGCCGTCGTAACGCGGCCGCTGATGTGGACGGTAGTTGCCATCATCGGCGTAGAATTTGTTCCCGTCGACGGCAGCGGTGGAGGTGTCGCGCTCGCGTGACGTGCTGCGGCGACGGCTGCCGTGGCTGTCGTTGTGTCCGTCGCGGCGCTGTAGCGCCCGATTGTAGCGTCCGCCACCACCGCCACTTCCGTCCGGGGAGCCGTAGCCGCGGACGGGGTTGCCGTCGCTGCGCGCGTCGCCACCATAGCGATCAGCGCGGGCGTCACGCTCACCTCGCCAGTCGCTATCGCTCATCTTCACCTCGTTTTTATATATAATGTTTGGGGTTTTCTCTCTTATTGTTACAGTTGCCGTTGCTGCTGCGGAGGAGTTCGAGTGCTATCGCTCCTTTCCTCAGGGGGGTTGTGCGCGGTCCGCGTGTGTGTGTGTGTGTGTGTGTGTGTGTGTGTGTGTGGCATCGTCGTTGATTCCGTTGGGTTGTTGTTGTTATTGCGTGAAGCGAAGTGAAGACGAAAAAGGAAATGTGAAGTGCAGCTGCGTTGTGGCGTGTGTGTGTGAGCGCCTCCCATACAAACCGTCCCTTCTCTCCCAGCACAACAGCTGGGAGTGCTCGAAAGACCTCCATTGAGCCCTCCTCCGAATACACGAGAGGGAGGGAGGGAGGGAGGAAGAAAGCTTCTCCACCCTGTTCAGCATTGAAGCCAACTTCAATGATCTGCTTCATTTACTATTATTATTAATATTATCGTGCTTGCAAGCAAGAAGGATATACATACTTGTCTCCTCCCCCCAAAAACAATGGAAGAAGGAGAAGGAAAACAAGGGCGGACGACTCTCCCCTCTTGTTATAAAATTTGGTCCCTTTAGTAGCGCGCCTTCGTTCGTCTGTGTGGGGAGGGAGGGGAGGGAAGGGGGAGCCTTAAAGAAGGCAGAGTAAGCAAGAAAATAATAATAAGAGAAGGCATGCAAAGCACGCGCTCTCACACAGGAAGAACCCCCACCCCTCCTCCACGTCCTCTACAGACGATGCAGATCACGCTCGGATCATAGATATATACCTTTTCCCATGGTGTAAGAAGACAGGAAGAGAGATAGCAATCAACACCAACACCAACAACAAACAACCATCGATTATGGAAAATAATAAAAAATAATAATTCGGAGCAGAAGCACGTGCGAAGTTAGCTCAGTTGAAGCTCATTCGCAAAGGACTGCAGCAGGCACTGCACCGTGCGGATGGGCACCGCGATGCTACGCCGCTTCTGCACGTGTTGGATACATCGTTGCAGCAGACGGCTTGTGACTAAAGCGGTGCCGTCCGTCGTCATCGCCGGGGCAGCATCGTTGCCCGCGTTGACGCCGTCCTCAGCTCCCACCTTTCGAGGAAGAGCCGAAGAAAGGAATGACGAGGCGGATGGAGGTAGCGGCAGGCCGGGCTTCGACTTCTGCTCCTCCTCCTCCTCCTCCTCCACCTCACGCTTCGGTGTGCTGCAACACGCAGGGCCGCGAAGAAGATCGGCTGCCATTGCGCTGTCTAAATCCCGCTGCCGATGCCCAGGCACGTCGTTGTGCACCTTCAATCGCCGCTCCTCCGCCAGGACCTGCCGACACTGATAGAGCAGCCACAGCAGGAACGCAACGAGGATGCCGCAGGAGCGGTGCATGCCTGCGGAGCAGTGCACCAGCGTCACTTCCGTCTCCTCAAACACCTCTGCAGAGTGCGCGAGACCACTATCGTGGTTGCTACGACTACTGCTACCACGACGACCACGACCACTGTCACATCGATTTGAGGCCCCGCAGGAACACGGAGGAGGACCGCCACCCCACGCATTACGTGAAGCGTCCTGCCGCAGACGAGCGTCTATGCTCGCGGCCAGCATCGGCGGCCACGTGCAACAGGACGGGAGCATCGCCGGCTGTGCTGCTGCTGGTAGTGGTGGCTGCGGCAGCCATGACACCGGCGAGTGTGTTGTACCCATCAAATTGCTTGCACCGGTGTTCGTAGTAGGGCCTCCGCTGATCGTCGTCGTGCTGCTGCTGTTGCTCATCACAGGCACACTCGTAGGCATCGGCAGTGGGCCGCCTTGCATGAAGGTGAACAGCGACGATTGGAAAAAAACGGACAGGTTGAAGGAGTCGGTGTCCTCCGCCGGGATCACCCACTTCCAGATCAGCCGACCGCTGAGCGGCAGCGTCGCGACGTAGAGCGTCATAGCGGATGCGCTGGCGGCCTGCGCCGGCGTGATGCGCGTCGACTGCGGATCGGCGCTCTCCGCGTAGGGGCTGGCGGTGCCCGGCATGTACGCGTACGGGCACCACGTCAACGGCTGCAAGAGAGAGGTGCAGGGGCGAGCAGGGCCGGGTGGCGCGGACTGCTGCTGCTGCTGCTGTGCGGGTGGGGAGAACGGATGGCTGGTGGTGGTCAGATCAGACGTGGTGCTGGCGGGCGCGCTCGCACTGTGCGGCGCGACGCGCGAGGCGGCCACCGCCGTATTCGCCGGCCCTGTCACGTCGCGCAGGTACCGCGTCAACAGATAGCGCCGAAACGCCTCACTTTCCGCGGTCATCTGCGCTGCCGCTACGGCTTGCGCCGGCTCGAGAAGGCGTACGGCAGCCTCTGCTCCGGCCCGCAGCAGCGGTAACGTCGGCTGTGCTAAAAACCTCTCTAAACTTGCTAGCAAATGCTGCTGCGGGGTGTCTGTCGTGCCAGCTGCTGCTGATGCTGCGGAGGACGTACCACCACCATTACGGCTGCTGCTGCTGCTGTTTGTGGACTGCAGCGGGCCATCGCTGTAGCACTGCACTACGCGACTCACCTGCAGCAGTTCCAGCCACAAGGGCTGCCAGGCAGCGTCCTTGCCGCTGATGTACACCTGCGCAGTGTGCAGGGCCTCCACGTCGTCCAAGGCGGTACTGGCAATGGGAGTTGGAGTGTCTGCGTAGCCAGCGGCGTGCACGGCGGCCTCGTACACGGTGTTCACCCGCGACGCGTTAAGACAGCCTTCCAACACACGTCGTTGAAGCAGCGGGTCACTCGAGCGCGAACCTGCACCGACGACGTAATCGTCGTCATCCGCGCGGCTCCTCTTTCCTTCTTCGTTTGCGGTACGAGTGATCGCAAGTGGAGGGTCCGACGTTGCTGTTGCTGCTTCGTCTGCGAGGTCGTCGGTCAGAACGGACTGGACAGAGCGCCGTGCAACTTCCGTTGCATCCCGCATCACGTAGGTGGTGATGATCGCTTTGAAGTCGCTCATGTGGTAGCGCACAAAGACGAGCGCACGGCGCTCCTCGGCCGACAACCCGTTGCTGCTACCGCTGCCGCTGTCGACCACGACATCGTCCGCGATATCTTCGCTGGGTGGGTGGCCGACGAAAGGAGAAAAGCACGATGGAGGTGAGGTGTCGAGCAGGTACGCACTCACCGGGCAGGCCATGTCGTGTCGCCGTTGCTGCTGCTGCTGCTGGTGCTCCCGCTGCTCTTGCTGAAGGCGAACCTGCGTAATCACAACCAGCAGGACCGCGCGAAGAAACTTCTGGAGAAAGAAGTTAATATCCACGTCCGGCGCCAGCGGCTTCTGTTGCTGCTGTGAAGGTGAAGAGGTGGACACAGTTGCGGCGGCGAGCGTGAAGCCGTCATTATCGTCGTCCTCGCTTGCGGGTTCTCGATTGCCGACAGCGACTGCGGACACGTGCGGCATCGATGGCTGCTGTTGCTGCTGCTGCTCGTCTTCCACCAGATTCGCGGTCTTCTCCTCGTGCTGTTGGTCCTGTTGCTGCGCAACGAACACCGTGGCGGCCGATGCAAGAAGGGTAGGAGGAGGTGGAGCGGGTGCCCGACTCGCCTGCTCCGCCTTCTGGCAGGTACGTCGTTGCGCCGCTGTCATGGACGCGGCTGTCCACGGGGCAGGCGGCGGGGGATAGAAAAGCTGCGCCGCCTTCTTGCGGCGATAAGCGTCACCAAACAAGAACAAATCATCCCTCGACGTCACCGCCGCCGCGGCGCCCGCCGGCTTGGCGCTGGAGCTTGTTGGTGCATCGGTCGAGGACGTGGCGGACGCACTGCCATGCGCGTCCTCTGGAGCTGTTGACGCTGCTGCCACTGCTGCTGCTGCGGCCCTTGCGCTTGCACGCTTGCTTTGCAGCTCCGCCGCCGCCGACGTGGAAGACCCTTTCCGCGCCGTGCTGCTGCGCGTGGTGGTCGCGGCGTCGTCTTGGCCTGTCCGTAGTCGCCGACGGGAGCGCTTCTGGCGGCTTAAGTACAAGGTCGGCAGGTGCGCCATGGTGTCACTTGGCCACCACGCGTAACTGCGCTGCTCGTGAGGCGTTGCGGTCGTCGCCGCACTGATATGATGATCGTGATTACTGTTACTACGGTTATTCTTACTGTTGCCTCCGTTCCCCTGCGCGTGCAGATCCACTTCTCCGCCCTCGACGTTTTCTGGAGCGGCCCCATCTCCACCTTCGGTCGGGAATGACGGACGATCGCGGCTGCTGCCAACACCGCCGCCACTCCCGGCGTTTCTTCTGCTGTTGTGGCTGTTGTTGTGATTCGTGTGTGCGTGGAATGGCAGAGCCGCCGCAGCGGTGGTGGTGGTGGTCGTGGTGAGACCAAAGAAATAATACGCCTCCTCTCGGGCATCCCGTTCCTCCGCCGCGGAGAGCTCTGGCGGCCAATCCGGTGTGGGGTGGCAGTGCGAGTGGTGATCACCCACAGCAGCAGCTGCGCTGATCACCGCGGTCTTCGTCGCCGCTGGACGACTACTCATTGCTGTCGTCGTCGTCGTCGTCGCACACGCGTGCGGCTGACGTAGTGCCGCCGCCCACGAAACGTGCGGCCCACTTTCTGATGTAAGTGGCACAGATGCGGCGTTGTTAGTGGTAGAGGAGGAGGCAGCACCACCGACAACAGTGGCAGAAGAAGAAGAAACTGCGGATTGCATTGTGCCGAGTGAAGCGGGTGTGATAACTGGCGGCCGTCGCGAGGCAAAGCCGCCGCCGCCGCTGCTGCCGCCCCCTCCACCTCTGTTGCTCATCATGCACAGCTTTGGCGTGAGCGTGGGGGACGTCATGGAGGAGAGGCTCGTGCGCAGCGAGGTCGAGCCCACGTGGTTCGGCGGGTGGTGGTGGTGGTTCTCATGGATGCGTTGGAAGGACAAGACCGGTGTTGTGGTCGTCCCTGCTGCTACTGCTGTTGTTGATGATGATGAGCCCGGTAACCGCCGAAGATGTGCTGTGCTCTGCGTGACAGGGCGGTTGTGCGGATGCGAAACGTGTATCTGATGTTGCTGCTGCTGCTGCTGTAGCTGCTGCTGTTGTTGAAGACGAGCCTGTTGTTGTTGCTGCTCGTAGCGCGCGAGCAGCTCCAGACCCCAGGGCTGGTAGTACAAAGCGGAGAGAGAGCGTTCACGAACCCAGTTTGGCAGCTCCACCGGCGTCGACGGCAGCGGCGTGTCTGCCACGTGCGCCAAGGCGGCGTCGCTGAGACTCGCGCGGTCGCAGCACTCCCCACCACCGCAACTACCTCGCGGAAAAGGGTAAGCATCGCGCTTCTCCACCGCTGACTGGATTGAAACGAAAGAGTCGCTGAGTGAGGGGGAGGAAGGCCGCTGACACGCAACCGGAGACGTTTGCACCGACACCACAGCAGCGTCGTGAGCGGGCGTGGATGACGGAAGATGCGGAAGCGACGGTGATGGACGTGCAAGTGAAGACGCCGCGGAAGACGTGAGCGACGCACGCGCCGCTGCGAGGTACGAGTGGCTGACGTTTTTGGTCGTACTAGCGTTGTTGTTGCTGCTGTTCACGCGAGAGGAGGTGGCGTGGTGCCCGGGCACCAGCCCCCCGCTGATGGCTGCAGGCGTGTGCAGCCGTGAGCATTGAAGGACGTGCTGCTCATTCCCGCTGCGACCACCATCTCCGTCCTTCATGTAATTGGTGTTGTTGCTGTCGCCGCTGATGGGCCCCCTGAAGCGAGATGACACGGAAGGCGACAGCAGGCGCTCCGTCGAGGTGGTGGCGCGTTGTGCCGCCGCTGCGGTGCACTGCGTTGCGGAGGGAGGAAGAAGCAGCGGCAGCGGTGGCCCGGGATGGAGGTGCGGCGTACGCGTCAGCGTCGTCGTGAAGGTGGTGGTGGTGGTGGCGGTGGCGGGCGCAGCAGCCGTCCCTCCACCGTTGTTATTTCGTGTGAGCGCCGATGCACGATGCTGCAGCCGCAGCAGCAACTCATGCGCCTCTGCTGTTGGTGCGGTGTAGAGGGAGGCCGCCTTTGGACCTTCGGTGATGGACGGTACGTAGACGCGCAGGGTGCTCTGCCGGTGCGTGCGCGCAGCCTTGCGCCGGCGCAGCATCTTCTTCCGACGACGCGAGCCGCCACAGACCCCTCCGTTGGCTCGCGCGACACCTCCGTTGTTATCGCTGATCCCCAGGTTGAGTACGTCGCCTACACCCACGCCGATTCCGCCGTTGCTGGGTGGTGTGACGCGCCCGCTGACGGTGCTGGACCACGTTTTATGAAAAGACATGGACGCGATGCTCGTGACCGGGGAGGCGGGGGATGAGGGGAGGGCGCTGCTGGTGTTGCTGCTGCTGTTCTTGTTGTTCTCTCCGCCGCGTCCGCGCAGCCAGTGCACGCCGTCCTCCCCTTCGCTGACGCTGCTGTCGCCATCGCTGTCATCGACATGGTCGTCACTGTCGCTGCTGCTGCTGCTCCTGTGCGAGATTGCGCCAACCGCCGCTCCGCCGCTTCTCAGGTACTTCTTCCTCACCGCTAAACTACCACCGCCACCGCCATTGTTGTTGGAGTTGCTGATGCCGGAGGGGTGAAGAATGTGACGCGCGAGTTGGCTAGCTGGCGACGGCGGGTCACGCAGTGACGACGGCGATGACACGATGGATGCGCGTAGTCGGTCTGCTGCCCGCATCATCATCGCTGACGGCTGCTGCTGCTGGAAGGAGAGGCGAGAGCACAGGGAAGCGCACGGCGAGACTCCGTTGTCGTTGTCGGTGCTGCCGTGCAGATGCCGCGGCGTCACCCCGGTCAGGCCGACGGCGGCCCCGAGCAGCTCACCGCTCTCGTCGTCTAGACCACAAAGATTGTCAAGCGAAGAGACGGACGAGATGTGCCGGCGCAGCCGCAGCGAGGGAAGACCAGACGTGAGGTGTCGCGAGGAGACGGACACCGCTGCGGCGCAGCTGCGATGACGACTGGACGTCAACGTCGTCGGGTTGCTGCCGTTGTTGTTTCTCGCATCCGCAGTGGTATTCCGATTCCTCTCGGTGCGCTGCGGCGGTGTGCGCAGTTCACCTTCATCGTCCAGCAGCGCAAGCGCTGTCGCTGATGTCGTCGCAGGCGACACAACCGACGGCGTCGGGGAGTAGAAAAACGTCTTGTTGGCGACGGCGCGCCGACGGTGCTGCCGCTGCTGCCGCTGCGCCTCCAGTTCCCGCTGGAACTCCTCCAGGGAGGGCAGGTAGTAGGCGTGGAAGATGGACGGGGCGGGCGTGACGGCGGTGGCGAGACGGCTCGCCGAGGGTGAGGGAGCAGAAGAGAAGGTCGCTGCTGTTGCTGCAGTCGGCGGCGCTGATCGCGGCGGTGTGTCGTCGCTGCGACTGCGGGGCAATGATAAGGGCGCGACTGCCGTAGACGCCGCAACGGCGGGGGTTCTGCTGGGCGGAGTGCGACGGCTCGTCACCGTTGCCGCTGTCGTCATCGGCGTCGTGCCGGTTGGGTGGTGCGCGCTTCCGCGAAACAGGTACTGCGACCACGTGAGAGTCGGCGTGGCGGACGCCGGTGGTGCTGTGATGGCGGCGGCGGTGAGGCGATCGAGGCGAGTGCGCTTCTGCGGAAGTGGATCCTTCGCTGTGTCGTGGCTGGCAGCCTCGGCCGGCCGGCCAGACGGCGGTGCGCTGGAGGAAGATACTGCGAAGTTGGAAGGAGGCATCACCACCGAAGCCGACGCTGCGTTTGCTGGCGTGTGTCCGTTGTGAAGGCCCGTCTTTTGCACTTCTTCCTCCTTCTCCTCTTCTTCGTTGTGAAGGGGGTGCCCCTCACTTGCGCCGACGGTGGCTTCTTCCTCGCCATCCGCACCGCCTCCACCGCCATCATCATCACCTCCGGCTGCCGCACTACCGCAAGAAATAGCAGCATCCTGCGAGAGTGTCGGTTGAGTGAGTCGGTCTGACGGTTCCGGCAAGCGTAAAGGACACGGCGCGTGCGGCAGCAGCACTCGGAGAAGATCAATATTCCAGGTGAGGGCCGAAAAAACGTAGGCGAAGTCGTCCTTCGGGAGGAGCCAGGTGGACGGCGCCGGGGCTGCCGGAGACGTGCTCGACGATGGCAGCCGTTGCTGCTGTGTCACGGACGCAGAAGGTGAAGCGCAGGGCCCTTCAGCAGCCGTCGCAGCCGCAACTGAGTCTTTTTTCACACCGCTGTCTGCCGTCTCTCGTCTCTCTTCCACAGTTGCCGTCGTTGCTGTCGCAGGCGACTCTGCGAGAGGAAGCGTCATCGGCGGCATCGATGCCGGTGCGACAGCAGTGGTGGCGCTCGCAGTGCTTCGGTACCCCTCCGCCGCTTTCGCACGCGGAGGAGGAGAGCGAGTGGGATAGTAAGGCTGTGCTTGCGTTGCTGCTGTTGGTGATGCTGCTGATGTTGATGCCTCGACAGAGCCGGAACGACTCGTCGTGCACGTCGCCACCGCCTTGCCCCCGACAAATGGAGGAGAGTTGGTGGACGCTGCAGAAGGGATCTCCCTGCGGTCGACACACGCATCTTCTGCATTTTTCACGTTGTTGGTGCAGCTGACGTGGATGCAGCTGCTTGCGTCGGGAAGCTGCGCGCTGGGGGATGCTGGGGAGGCAGAGGCGTTCCGCTGCAACCGCGCCAGAACTCTGGAAGAGGGGATGTACATGGATGCCGCGGCGTGGCTCTCCATTTTTAGCTGTTGTACTGTATTATATCTACTTACTTTGCTGTTTGCTTTAAGATGTAGTTGTACGCGTCGTGTATCTCCTGTGAATACGTACTGCAATAATAGCAGGTGAGTGCCTTACACGTGTGTGTGTGTGTGTGTGTGTGTGCACAGCGTGTTCACGTCCATTAGGAAACCCTATCCGCATCAACAGCAGCGGCAGCAGCAATACCAACGAGGGAGAGAGCTGTAAGGGTGTTCTGTGCGAGAAGGAGCTAAAACAAAAATATCAAAAGAATAGCAGATGAAATATATATATATATATATATATGTGTGGGTTTGTGTGGAGTAGGCGACAACAGTAGCAACAACAAAGGAGAATACGAGAAGGAGGAAGACACCTATATATCAAGAAGCGAAAGAGAAGTAACAGCGGAGAGTTGCCTCCGTTGAGGACTACAACAAAGGAGGAGTATCGAAGCAGAAGATGATTTTTCAAAAGAAGGCGTCTGCACAAACAATGCTGTTGCTGTCTCCACCTTCAACAGGAACAACAAGGAGGAGAACCAGAAAGGCGAGCGAGTTCGCTCTTGTCGTGTTTACACCATGTAAGACAGCGTTGTGTGTGTGTGTGTGCGTGTGCGTTGCAAAAAGTAGAGGAAGCAGAAAAACAGAAAAAGAAGAGGAGGAGAGGAGATTCGGGGTTGTGTATTTGAAAGAGGGTGAGAGAGTGAGCATCACAATTCCCCCTTCCCCACACACGCGCGCGGGGAACACAGACGACAGCGACAATGGGGCTGGAAGGCACTCGCTATATATACATACATAGCTGAAGAGAGCGCGTACGTGTGAAGTCGCATGCGGTAGCATGCGCATCCTACACGCGAAACAAAATATATATGCGCGGCGGCGATCTCGATTCGTCGCGTCACCAAAACAGTAATAATAAAAAGAGAGATACCTACATCAAGAGGGAATTCTTTTGCTTCAGCGTCGACGAAGAGAGAGAACACCGCTGCTTTTTTTCATTACTAAAATAACTGCGATGGTTGCTCACAAAGTCCACCGCCCCCTCGTAAAGAAGACCCTTCTGTGCGAAGAAGTAGAAACGATAATAATAATAGTAGTAGTAGTAGAAAAATGAAAAAAAGAAAACTGGAAAGGGGGAGAAAAATGGTAGCTGACAGAAGCGGTGGTAGCAACAAGAGCGGTAGAGCAGACAGAGACGGGGAGGCTTACTTCAAAGGGAGAAGTAGATAGAATAGTAAGCGCGTCCCGCTGGCTCGTGCCTTCGTTGGCTTCGCTTTCCTCCTCCTCAGCAACATCAACAACAAAATAATAATAATAACAATTGGAAAAAAAAGCATTGACGTCAAGAAGAGTTGTTAGTTTAATGTCAATGCTGGTCGTTGCCTCCATGACAGTAAAAACACACACAATCAAACAAGCAAGCATCGAAGAGCTCGCAGTGAAGGCGCGTTCGCATGTCTCCTTGCGAGCTCTTCGATGCTGAACGAACACCTCCGTGCTCTGACGGCGGACGTGGTCCATTCAATACATCAATAATATAAAATGGTAGCGCAGTAGAAAGCCGCAGGAAGAGAAAAGTCGAGACAGGTGACGTATCACAAAAGAGTATTATTTTTTCCTTTTACTAAATATATATATATATATATTATTCGGATCAGCATGCCTAGAACATCGAATTCGAACAGCTTGATAGCGACGTGCGACACAACGAAGCATGAAAGGGAAGATAGCACACAAAGGGACGAGCGAGCACTGGCAACAGAACCTTGCCCACACGTTTCTGCCTATATATATATATACTTCCACATTTATTTGAGGAGGGAGAGAAGGAGGGAGCTCAGGCAAGACCCTTTCTTCTCTTTCTCCATCAAAGGACGATAGATAGAAGGAAAATAGTAATAATAAAGAGAAACAAATCGATGAAGGCAGGTCACCGAGGCACGTCGGTAGAACAGAGAGGGAGAGTGAGAACGCGAAGCCTCTCAAGGAAAAAAAAAGGGGAAAACAAATACTCAATGCTATACTTCATCGCACCCGCAGAGCACGCAAAAACAGGCGAGCCGGTATGTATTCTGTTTTCAATGTATCGTCCAGCTTAGATAATAACAAGAATAGTGGGAAAAAGCTATAAAGAGAAAAGCACTTCAAATAACGAAGCACTTGCGCACCTGCAGCTCGGTTCCTCACACACAGGCAACGTGGAACATGTGGGAAGAAGAGAAGGAGAGAGAGAGAAAGAAAAAAAAAGCCTAACCGACACAGAGAAGCAGCATCAACGGCAGCAAAAAGAAGAAGAAGAAATGACGCTGAATGCGTGCGCAAGGAGGTGTTTCTTGGAGGAGAGGGAACACATACACCCAACACATAGGATATAACATGTGAGTCGTGAGACGACGTGCAGGTCGCCTTCCCCACCAAAGAAAGAAGGAACAGAAAATAAATAAAAAATAAGACGATATCGTTTCCAGCAGTAACTCGCACGAACGCTAAACATCACCTTGATGATTAAACAACCGAAAGGAGAGAGAAAGAGAGAGAGAGAGAGAGAGCAAACAGAGGAAACACACACGCACACACGCGCAGTGCACACCGCTATCTTTTATTCTCTCTCTCCGATATTTTCAGAGAAGCACGAAGCTAAATACCAACAACAGAAATCGATAGTAGAGAATTACAAAAAAGGACTGTTTTACGTTTTTTTTTCTTATTTTAGTAAAAAAGAAAAAATCAGGCAGGAAGAGACATTATTCGTCTTTATCAGATATTGATGGAGCCAACATACACCCACACACACACACACGCACACGTACGCACAGAGCAGGTGTGTGGTGAGGGCGTATGTTGGTTCATCCTGGCGCTACGGGGGAATCAACGTGACAACGAATCGAAAGCATGATTAACAGAAAATAAGTTAAAATAAATAAAGAAGAACGTCCGTTGGTGTTTAACGGAGAGACGACGCAGCGAAACTTACTGATATGGGATAATACTCATAGTCATAAGAATCATAAGAAAGAGTGAAGGAGAGGTGGATCGTTGTCTTCTCGTGTTTTCACGGTGCGCTAAAGATCAGAAATAGGAACAATCATTAATACTAAAACGGAGAGGTGGGTAAAGCAATGAAAACTCACGTAGAGCAACGAGAGGAACGCACAACGGGATACAATACTACTAATAATAGTAATAGTAGTAATAGACTGCAACCACCGTACACAACAACTATCACCTTCTATAAGATCAACAGAAGTGCAGGAGAGAGAGGGAAGAAAAAAAAGAGGTTCTCTTTCCTTCCAGGCAGTTCAGTTCGATGAATAGTGATAATAATAACAACAATAAAGCTGGTGAGACACGCATACGCGCGGCAGACAGAGGAAGCACTCAAACAAACACTCAGACACAC